AAAAATCATCCCTTTTGTCGTATTTTTTTCTGTAGTTTTGTGTAAAGTAAGTCCCTTTGGGTAAATCTCAGCAGTATATTCAGAGAACTCTTAATTTTTTAACGAAAAAATATCATCAAGATAACGGTAAGTGTTGTTGAATTTATCAATTAAATGGAATTTAGACGGTTTTTAACTGAGTTAGGCGATAAACTGTGATTCATAACAGTAAAGGAACAAGTCTGCTATTAAAGGGACACAATTGATATTTGTTTTTCGTTCATGATTTTGTACATTAATTAGATCGTTAGTTTTCTCGTTTGAATTGTTTTACATTTGTCATTTCGGTGCCTTTTAAAGCTGACTATGCGGTTTTGGCTTTGCTTAATGTTGAAGGCCTTAAGGTGACCTATGTAACATAGTTGAACATATACCTATGTTGCACTTAATAATATATAAATGTTATAACCCCGATATCAGACAAACCAAGATGCCAGATGACCATTTACCTAGCCTTGATGATATACAAACCAATTGTCCTTTATTAATACTAATCAAGAAGCCAGGAACCTAATTATGATGTATACCTTAGTCTCCAGAACATTAATTGACTTTCAATTAACTTATGATTTAGAATATCAGTACCTCATCATGTGCCTGTATTACAGAACCACTCTTGTAAACATTACCGTTTATGGACCACACTATACGAAAACCAGATAATCCTGTGATTCTAATAATTGATAGACATTTTGTAGTTTGACCAGAACTATCTTGTACTTGCACTGATGTGCACATAGACATTTTCATTAACGTATTATTTTCATGTAGTTTTAATAAAAGCATCATTTAAATTTTTGTGTTTCTAAACCATTACGTCACACTTATAGTTGATAATTTCTGTGTCATTTGGTCTCTTGTGGAGAGTTGTTTCATTGGCAATCATACCACATCTTCTATTTTTTTTTAAATATGCAAACAATGGAGGCGGCCGCGCAAATAAAACTAGTTTAACCCCACCACTTTGTGTGCCTTTATCAAATCAGTCTTTCTGGATCATGTGTTGTTCGTTGTGGTTCGTCATTATTTGTACGCCTCTTTTTCGCAGAAGGGTTTTGGTGGTTGATGTGGTCTGTTGAACTGTCAGGATTTTTTTTATGATTCGTATCATCCTTTTGTATGTATTATTCATGAGCTCTAAAGCGCTCTTTTTTTTTTATTAAAAACTTATTTGGTAACGTAGCATGATCACTGTTATCGAATTGACTAGAATTATAAAATCTTAGACAAAAATAGCAAAATCGTATCGTGAATCGTATGTGGTCAAAGCGAGGCGCAAATATCAGATAACATATAATTAAACATTTTCTTAAATTATTTCATGTGGCAGCAAGGTGATGACATATATGAGGTAAAGAAAAACGTCGACTGTTTTATTCCTATAAAACTTCTTTCCGTCCCGCACTTTTGAAATTGCTGGGGTCGAAATGGTCGCACAAAACATATTTTTTCAGGCTTAAAAATCGATTTACATATATTTTTTTATTTAAAGTTGGAAGAGGCATCTCCTACACCTCTATGTGAGGTCATAAACATGTAAAAGTAACAAAAATCAAATCACAATAATAATTAAAAAATTTACAAAAAAGACATTAACATCAAATATATGTGACAGAGTTAAAATATTTTTCATGTTTGACAAAATGTCCCCTACCCTTGCGGATGCTTTATAAATCCCAAACTAGCATTAGCGGTATTCCGGGGACTGTGACCACACTCTAAACAAGATGGTTAATTGATGGGTTGCACAAATCCTTAAATAAAGACGACAAGTACGGTAATATTCCAATCACCATTGTTTCAATAGTCGAGAGTGAGTTGTACTTTAATGGGCATTTGGAAAAGGATGTCAGAATCTAAATAAAATGGATGCCTGAATCCAAATTATATTGTATCAAGTCATCATTCATATACAACTTGAATGCCATCATCCAGATGAACTCTAATTCTATTTATCGAATTGGGTGCTAGCAGACATAGGATTCTAGCATCAAAACGAAAAGTCAACGTCTATTGTTTTATATATTAGATGATTTAAATAACGAGGTTTCACTATAGAACTTGAGTTTGTCATATAAACATCCTGCAATGATGAATATGCTTTTTGCGGAATATTTCGGCATCCAAATCCCCTTTTAAATATAATATATACGTAAATGGTAGGTAATATCTTGTACAATACATCTTTACAACTACAAATTTATACAAAACAATAAATCTTATTTCCAAATACATGTATGTCATCAAGGGGGCATATACATTTAATCAATAGTACCATTCACAGTATTACTATACACACAGCATTCATTTAACAAAACAAATATTATCTTTCACATCAAAACAAATAGTATCTTTCACAGTAATACAATACCCACAGCATTCATTTCACAAATCAAATACATCAGTAAGTCAAATCATAACATTTTGAAATAGAAATGATATATATAATGGTTTCTTCTCCGTAGATGTGGTAAAGATAATCGTCTTCTCACTGAATTTTATTTACAAAATGTGTGAAAATAATATTTATATTTGCCTAAAAAAGTACAATTGAATTTTAAGCTGCAACATCAGAGGAACGATGCCATAGGACTGTGGACTTCGTTGCTCTCACAAATCTTATCTCGTCCAATGCAGGGATTCAAACAATGGTAATTTAAGACGTGTCATGTCAAATAAATATATTAATGAAGTAAGAGCATTACTGGGTATGCATCCATCACTGATACATTATGATGATATGTTTTTTGTTTTGTTTCCTTAGTGCAACAGAAACTAGAACGGTGATCAAGGATCTAAGTGATTTAAAGCTTGGATATTGTATCTCACACAGTCTTCATTGTGTCTTAAACAGTCACGGAAGATACATTTGATAATTACTATTTTTAGAAATAAATCTTCAAAAAGAGGTGACAATTATTTAATCTTCTTCGTTCATGTCATGACACTCAGTTTGTCCCTTAAGTTGAGATTAAGACAAGATGGATTATCTTTAAACGTTTCTTGAATTATGTAATTTCGGTCATTCCCAAATTAAGCAAAGTGAAAACAATGATAATTACCCTCAACATCCCCAGAGATAAAAAGAGTACAATTTTTGTCATTTAGAAGAAATCCCCCTCGTACTTTCCTGTCACACCTTTTTTAGCTCACCTGACCTGAAAGGTCAAGTGAGCTTTTCTCATCACTTTGCGTCCGTCGTCCGTCGTCCTGCGTCCGTCGTCCGTCGTCCGTAAACTTTTACAAAAATCTTCTCCTCTGAAACTACTTGGCCAAATTAAACCAAACTTGGCCACAATCATCATTGGGGTATCTAGTTTAAAAAATGTGTCCGGTGACCCGGCCAACCAACCAAGATGGCCGCCATGGCTAAATATAGAACATACGGGTAAAATGTAGATTTTGGCTTATATCTCTGAAACCAAAGCATTTAGAGCAAATCTGACATGGGGTAAAATTGTTTATCAGGTCAAGATCTATCTGCCCTGAAATTTTCAGATGAATCTGACAACCCGTTGTTGGGTTGCTGCCCCTGAATTGGTAATTTTAAGGAAATTTTGCCGTTTTTGGTTATTATCTTGAATATTATTATAGATAGAGATAAACTGTAAACAGCAATAATGTTCAGCGAAGTAAGATCTACAATTTAGTCAACTTGACCAAATTAGTCAGTTGACCCCTTAAGGAGTGATTGCCCTTTATAGTCAATTTTTAACCATTTTTCGTAAATTTTTGTAATCTTATACAAAAATCTTCTCCTCTGAAACTACTAAGACAAATTTAACCAAACTTGTCCACAATCATCATTAGGTTATCTAATTCAAAAAATGTGTCCGATGACCCCGCCGGCGAACCAAGATGGCCGACATGGCTAAAAAATAGTACATAGGGTAAAATGCAGTTTTTGGCTCATATCTCTGAAACCAAAGCATTAAGAGCAAATATGACTGAGGGGTAAAATTGTTTATCAGGTCAAGATCTATCTGCCCTGAAATTTTCAGACCAATCAGGCAACACGTTGTTGGGTTGCTGCCCCTGAATTGGTAATTTTAAGGAAATTTTGCCGTTTTTGGTTATTATCTTGAATATTATTATAGATAGAGATAAACTGTAAACAGCAATAATGTTCAGCAAAGTAAGATCTACAATTAAGTCAACTTGACCAAAATGGTCAGTTGACCCCTTAAGGAGTGATTGCCCTTTATAGTCAATTTTTAACCATTTTTCGTAAATTTTTGTAATCTTTTACAAAAATCTTCTCCTCTGAAACTACTAAGACAAATTTAACCAAACTTGGCCACAATCATCATTAGGGTATCTAGTTTTAAAAATGTGTCCGATGACCCCGCCCGCGAACCAAGATGGCCGACATGGCTAAAGAATAGTACATAGGGTAAAATGCAGTTTTTGGCTCATATCTCTGAAACCAAAGCATTTAGAGCAAATCTGACAGGATAAAATTGTTCATTAGGTCAAGATCTATCTGCCCTGAAATTTTCAGACAAATCAGGCACCACGTTGTTGGGTTGCTGCCCCTGAATTGGCAATTTAAAAAAAAATTTTGCAGCTTTTTGTTATTATCTTGAATATTATTATAGATAGAGATAAACTGTAAACAGCAATAATGTACAGCAAAGTAAGATCTACAAATAAGTCAACATGACCAAAATTGTCAATTGACCCCCTGAAGGAGTTATTGCCCTTTATAGTCAATTTTTTACAATTTTCATAAATTTTGTAAATTTTTGTAAATTTTTACAAAATATTTTCCACTGTAACTACTGGGCCAAGTTCATTATAGATAGAGATAATTGTAAGCAGCAAGAATGTTCAGTAAAGTAAGATCTACAAACACATCACCATCACCAAAACACAATTTTGTCATGAATCCATCTGTGTCCTTTGTTTAATATGCACATATACCAAGGTGAGCGACACAGGCTCTTTAGAGCCTCTAGTTAAGCTTTGCCTCTGTCGAATACTGTCCAAAAAGGAAAGAACTTTTACCTCCCAAATTTGAATTAAATATTGCGTAAGTTTACCATCAGAACCATTTATGTATACACGTTGATTTTTAAACTTTCATTTAATTTTTATGTTATCCTCCCATATTTGCATTGAATGAAAATTAGAGGCAATAGAAGTTTACCGTTGTTCAAGGACTGTAAATTCATTAATAAGAAAAACTCAATTTAAAAAGGGAATCAGACGACTATGCGTGGTATCTAAATGATCTAAATGATCTAAGACCGCAAAACCTGTCTTATGAATAGATAAACCAACACATCGTTAAATTGTGATGTGGCAGTAAAACTTGTAGTTTCGGTTTTCATTCGTTCTCCTCACAACCTTAATGGAGCGTTCTCACAAGAGATGAAACGAATCCATATGACAGACACGAATGTAGCACATATAGTGTTGCTACAACAATACAAAATAATGGAATACGGAATATAGCATTAACATTTTCATTAACCCCAAAATGAAGATAATATATTTTTGTAACTTCAAAGAAGTTCAATAAACTGTAATGTAATATATGAAAACAATTAATTTTCCTTGAGAACTTATTCACTTTTGAGTTATGTAGAGGAATTTCCACCATACATACAAATTAAATCACTGTTAATGACCTAAATTTCTTAAAACAAATTGTGCATGTATTATGTCGTTACTCAAATTGCTCATAAACTCCTGTCTGTTCACCCTTTATGCATATGTATACTTTGTTTACTGTAGATTCATTATTATTCGTTGGATAGCAATTTTCGTGGATTTCGTGGGTACTGGTGAACCACGAATTTAAATGTTCAACGAAGAGTTCTATAGACTTGAATGCAGACTTTTGTAAAACCACGATATCAAATATTCACGAAAATACAATTTTTCCTTAATCCCCGAAAATTGGTACTCACGAAAAAAAAAAATGAATCCATAGAAATGGATATATATTTTTTTTAATGATGAACTACACAAGCGATGCATTGGTGCATTTTTCGATAGACAAAAGAGGTTTAAAGAAACTGTTAGTGTCCCTATTACAAATTTCATCATCAAAATGAACACAAGCGCACTTGCTAGTTGACCAATATGTTGATAACGAGCAGGTTTGAGAAACCAATTTTCCATTCGAACATTGGTAAAAATTAGTACAGTCATCTTTGTCTGGAAAGTATGCTTCACCTTGTGGATCATCCTTGCAATCAGGTACACAATCTATAAAAATAAAATGTGTATGTAATCTCCCTGTCTAATACTTACGTCCAAAATAAATGATTAATAACTAATTGTAGAATTAAACATGACAAAAAAAAAACCAGACTTCATCCTCCCAAATCATTCATACTTCTAATAAAAATGGTTTTGATAATAAATTTTTATCTTATATTGCTCTGAGTAAAAAATGAATGCAAGAGTTTATCTAAATTTGCATATTCTGACATTTTGTCAGCTTAGCGACGAAAATGCACGAATAAGACCTAAAGAATTGATCTTTTTTTTTGTCTAAATAACTACATCATTTTTTCCAAATGTGTAGTCCTTGGCGTGATCGATGTCAACAACTGTACTTGAAAACTGACATGCTAGCAAGGTACCCGCTTACATATTTTTGAGTTAGGAAATTTAGGGTACATAATTAGCCGATGTTGAAAATGGTCAATGTAATACATACCACCTTCACAAACAGGTATACCGGAGGTTGATGTCAGGTTTGCAGCAAGTTGCATATCCGTCATGAGTGGAACACAAGAGATCGTTTGATTTTCAGAAAACTGCGAAACAGGAATGATCGCATCAACTGAGACTGTGGTGCCACTGTTCTTATCATTGCTGCTACATACATCTATGTTAGGTATCAAACGTGACGATTTCCCATTGTTTACAAACAAGGCTACAGAGCTGGCCATGCAAGTTTTTATCATTTCACAATGAATATGAATGTTGTCATTAATTCGAGTAACTCTTTGCATTAGCTGTGGGTCTATTATAAAAAAGAAAATATAAAAAATTGTTCATAAGGGTTTGCGTTAACAAAATTCAAATACTAAAACTTTTTATTTAATATTAAAGTCGCCTAGTGTGTTAGAGGTTATGGGTTGAATCCGCAACCGGTATGAATGAATTAAAAAAAAATAGGCATTTGCTGCTTCTCCGCTAATTATAAGCACGCAGCATTTATGGGAACATCATCATCATCATCTCCAGAAAAAAGTAGTATCCTGTCTCACCTAATCACCCTGCTTTACCTATTAGAGCAAACTTATCATATTTAAGAGTGTTGTAGCCGTATAGTGTGTTGTGATTTCCAACAGAGAACAAATAAAGAGAGAAGATACAAACAGAAAGATTAAAAACCAAAACTCAAAGGAGGACAGAAAATACTATGGTCAAAAGAAAAAAGAAAAGATGAAAACAAGTCTACCAAACACAACACAAAAAAATAAATATTGAGCAACACTAAAAAAAACTGTACAGGTTTCAAAATGGTTTGATGCTTCGGATGTTGGAAAAAACCCACTTGCACAAAATTAAGTCAACTAAAGTAGCGGATCTACAATGCAATAAATACTCTATCAGAAAAAAATACTAGTGTTATTGCTGACCATATACAAGTACCTGGCCAAAACAGTTATTAGTTCAAAGGTAGACAAACTATATTGCAAAATCAAAAGATCATTAACCACTCACTAAAAATAGCACTCAACAATATCAATTAATGTGTTAACCATCTTCATTAAATTGCTTAGGGGAATAAGGTATCGAAGATTTACTTCGAAACCCACCAAACGACTAATAAGTGGAAATCAAGTTCAATCATAATCTGTTTTATGTTCCTGTGAAATTTCAATTAACATGAGGAAATGAACCTTCTAGTTCTCTTCTGATATCAAAAAAAGAGCCAAATGCTCCATGAACTATTTGTCAGATTATTAACATCTTTTTAACCAACAATTAAAACCGCGTGTTTAAGGATAAGTAGAACTGCTAGAAAGTAATTCCTGCTTCATACTGATAGCTTTTCTTACGTTATTATATGTTTATTCATATGTTTTAATTTCTTTACAAATTGTATGCGTTCAAAACAAAAACATAGCTATCATGACATCTTCTTCAGATAAGATTTGTATTCTAATTTTACATTTGGTAGAAAACAAATTGATAACTTTGTGACATCTCAGTTGTTGGTAATTATTCCCTATTCGTGATCTTAATAATTTGTCATGATTCCTGTTATGACATCATTACCACCGTGAAGAATTTTTTACAATCGTGTTATTTAAAAAAAATATCTTTGAGTCACTGGTTTTTATTTACTAATTTTATGCATACCTTTCAAACTGATTTCAAATTCTATGAATGTCACATTTCCATCATCATATTCTATAGTGATTTCGTAAATTCCAACACTATCACATGTTGCATTTTCCTTCATGAAACGCAATTGTTGGTCAGTTCTTGAAGAGTTGAAGTTAACTATCCAATCCCCATTTTTTAGTAAAACGATATCAGATGACACATTGATGGAAAAACTTTGAAGTGCACTAAAGTATTGCGAAGATAACTGTTTCACGTGTATACCTGACGGGTTACTAGTAAAATTCTGTGTATAAGGAATACATATTTGTTCTCCAACCGTTGCAGTAGTGATATCATTTTCACACTTACCTAAAAAGACAATATAGAGTTGACATGATTAAAACTCTGAGAGAGAGAGAGAGAGAGAGAGAGAGAGAGAGAGAGAGAGAGAGAGAGAGAGAGAGAAACTCTTCAAACCTTTTGAACCGGTCCAAAGTCAGGTACCTGTAATCAAGTGATTGTCGGTTCTTGCTGTTTTCAATATTCATATTGTTAATTGTTGTGGTATAAATCAGGCTATTTTTACTTTGAACTATATATGGCCTTTGACAACTTACGATACGGTATAGGTGTTGTTCATTGTTGAGTTGAATGTCTGACGGTGACCTGTAATTGTTCCCATCTTTGTTTATTGGTCAATGTATAGTTGTATCATTAGCCAGCATACCACACCTTTGTTATTTTATATCATAAGAAAACTCAAAATCGAAGGGAGACTAGATCGTAAATAAATTGACCACAGACAACCATTGATATGTTAAAGAAAACAAAATCAAAAACAAAATACATATTTTTTATGACGTTTCATTTAAAGTTTCATATTGGGAGCATGACACGTACTCTTAAAGTTACAGAACTATTGCAACAACCTTTAAACAGGTCCGTAGGTGACATTGCAGAGAAAACACTGTCCCTACCCAACACATCCTCCCTTTTCAGTGGCAGTCCAAATTTTCATCTTCGTATCGATCTACTACTTTCAAAACCTACACAATACACTGATAATTCAACCTGTGCTGATACTAAATCATATGAATGAAATATTTGCCTCTGAACTTTAACAAAACAGCGATTAGCCAATCCATTACCTGAAATGCTATCCATGAATCTTTTGAAAAGATATATCCATTTCTTAATTTACTTAAAATTTTTGTTTTGATAATGTATGACATTCAATCATTTTTTTTTATCTTAATATGAGTCCCTTTATATACCAAGTTTGATGTGTTTGAGCTTTTGATAAAGGACTTTCCGTTTTGAATTTTTCTTGGAGTTCGGTATTTTTGATATTTTACTTTTTATATATAAAAATAGAAAAACAAAACTGTTTTTAAGGAGCGGTATATTAGTTTCTGTAATAAATGATGAAAATAACTTACCCAAATTAAGCGGAGATGGAGTAGTTGCCTCATATATAATCTCTTCATCCGAACCTGTGACGGGAACAAATATTTCAAAAGAGATAACATTTAGGAAATTTCTGCATAGATCAATAAAATATGAAGTAAAAATACAAAAACAGCATTTTAAGAGAACGATTTTAGAGATATTTTATATGATGCTAGTATAGTGATGATATAGATAATGGAAATTTGGTACTAGACGACTAGACTAAAAAGTATGAAGCGGTATACAAAATTGGTACATACTCAGAAATACCAATGAAGGTGAAATTAAAAGTGTTGTTGAACAGAATGTACAAAGAGGAAACAATCTCCCAGGAAACTATGACCTTCCGTGTTTCCGCCAAAAATTCGTTTACCAGCAAAAAGCACAACTTCGATCTATTAGTCATCATTATACACTAACGTTTTAAAATATGCTGGATATATGCAGATATTTAAAAAATGAAGTACTATTTGAACAAACAATTTAGTTTAAAGGGTAGTTATACCGCCAAAGTTTGGTCAATCAGAACAAAATTTAAAGTTTGTAAGTCATGTATATAATATAACAAAGATCAGATCTATTTCTGTAAGCGTAACAAACAAATTCTTGACCGGTGTTTAACTACAGGAAGAAAGGACGGAATGAATGACATGGGTAACATATATGCCCTTCAAAGTCGGTGGCATACAAAATACATGTACTAGCAGTTATGAAAACACTATTGAATATTTGTTGCTAAGCCCCTTACTGAGCACTTGAATTTTAAAAGAGGGTGCAATGTTTAGTTAAGTCTCCCAAATTGCTATTTTAATCCTGGTATCTCTGATGAGTTTATAAGTAAACTTTTCAGTTACGAAAAGAAGCTATAAAATTTGTCCTCAGTCATGATATGTTTACTTTATTTACAAAGGATAGGACAGAACGTGTCACACGACCTTATGAAACTGAATGCTTACTACTTGCCACTTTATGCTTATTAGCTTAATTCATTTTAAAACAAAATTGCACACAGATTTTTCGCTTGGCATTGACAGGTAGACGACACAGTCAGGATTCTACTTCGTCAACATTATCTCCCCATTACGCCACCTAATTTTTATAATCGTAAAAATGGAAGCCATTGTAGTGATGACGCGCTGTCAATTTAGCTCTTGAAAACCGATAAATTTATTCACATAACATCATTACGATCTTGATATGCCAGTTTTATTCTAAAAGACAAATGTATCTACTAACTATTGAGCATCATTTAATGTACTTTTATGCATTGGTCAACTTAAAACTATTGTCTGATCGGTTGTCAGGGGGAATTTTCCAAAGGTCAAAAATATTTAAAAAAATTCTAATTAAATATTTCGTGGAAGGGCAGACTAAAAATTTTCAGAGGTTGAAGACTAATTACCCTAGTTTTAGTACTGTAAATTATAATGTTATTATATCAACCTAGAGCCTAAATATATAAAAATAATAGAATTTGAAGCGAGATGATGTATCAAATAATTTCTTTTATGCGTTTTCAAGACAGAATAGTCAATTCAAACACGCATGAACATAAAAAGGTGTACTCGACTTTCTCTTTCCGATGAAATTGCCCATTTTGAGGATTTTTCCCTAAAACTCTGTCGCCGGGGGCAGAGATGCAATTCAATGCTTTAAAAAGATCAATCTATTATCTTTTTTTGTAATTTTTTTCGGCAGAATTTATGCTGATGCACAAAAAAGATCCACATGTATTTGCACCTACCACAATCGACAGTTTTGTAAAAATTGTCTATAATTTAAAAGTTCACAAATATCTCGAAGCTCCATACCATATTTCAAGTACAAACACATACATAAGATGCATGAAATCCTAAATTAGGCGCATTCATTAAACTTTTAGAGCCCATAGAAACAGATGTCAACAATTCAAATTTACCAACTTGGCCTTTTTTCCCTTCTCTAACAAAGAGTTCCGTTTCTTTTGTTTAATTTCAACTGGGTTTCCGCCTGGACAAATACTAAATGTATACTATATTCTGGTTTACATACCATACTTATTGTGAACAATCCATGCTGCTACACCGGACACACAAACACACATAAAAACAAAAATGATCCATTTCCTTACATGGCAGTTCTTAAATAAAGCATATGAGATGTAAAAATACTAAAACAAAGACATTCATGCGAAAAACAAATCTAAGAATAACTTGACCTTTGTACAGTATTTCATTTGTGGTCTCGACGAACGTGTCAATAAAGTTTGATGAGTAGGCTTATCTTTCAAAGTGGAACACATCATTTAACGAACCTGAATTCATGATCGGAATATTGTGTCATTGTATTATGACGAGATCTTACTGTTCTCTCATCCTACCAATTTGTGGTTGTACTCATGTAAAGCATTTTTAATATATATTTTTAAAAAGATAAAAGTTAACATTCCTTTATTTCCTTTTCAGGTATACCTATGATATCAGGGAGTGATTTACTCCTATCTCTTATTTAAACTTGAAGTAAATAATTATGATACATGTGGAACGAAAAAGTAAGCTACCAATCTAGCAAGCCTTAAATGGACGACCCAATTTTAAAATCAATCACAAACGCATGATTACTGTGTTCTACAGTTTTCTTCCAATTTTAGATTAGATATAATATTATTTGTACAGTTGATATGACATAGTAGAGAAATGCTCTTTCAAAATATGAGTTATACAAGAAAAGTTTTAATGTTACGTATGTGCTTTGTCTATATGCCTTTTTGTTTATCTTTATTGACATATTTGTTAGTTTTTATAGTGATCGAGATTATAACACAATGTAGACTGCTGTACCCCTATTTTTGACATTTTTCCCTTTATGTCTGTTTGTTTTGTTCATACATTGTTGTCAATATAATGGAATTTTATGCGACTGTCATACAAGTGAGAGAATTTGCTAGCTTTAAAACCAGGTTTAATCCACCATTTTCTACATAAGAAAATGCGTGTACCAAGTCATGAATATGACAGTTGTTTTCCATTCGTTTGATGTGTTTGAGCTTTCGATTTTGCCAATCGTTAAGGGATCTCCGTTTCGAATTTTCCTTGGAGTTCGGTATTTTTGTTGTTTTACTTTTTATTAGAGGTAGTTGGTGCTTTGTTACTGGCATGATTTATTCATTACTTCTTATAGAATCTTCGTAACAAAACGTAGCAATTATTTAGAAGCTAAGATTTCAACTCTGCAGGCAAAGTTGACTTTAGACGAATTTGGTTATTCTTTTTAAGGGTCTTTTGGACATATAGCTTCTCAGGTATTGAATTTTTTTATACATCTTTAAATTCACATTTCCAAGTTAGAGCATTCCAAATGAATTTATAACCAGAAAAGCGGTAATGACGCATTAAACTAAGTTATTTCCATTGATCTAACACTAAGTAGAATCCGCTGCTGGTTGAATTGATTCCTGAGGTTAATTTCCTTTTTACATTGATGAATTTGACCTTTTGAGGTCCCTTATGGTCAAACAGATCATCAAATGCTCCGGACGCACCAAATTTATAAATTGTTGTTGACATTTTGAGACAGAAATATTGAACCACTGGTTTTTTCTATATATGAACTTGAAAATTAAATAGAATATGATGTTTGGATTAGATGACTAATATTGTAAGTATTAAGAAACTACCATTTCGTTTTGCTCAGTCTTTGGTTTTCTATGTTGTGTAGTGTATGTTGTTGTTTAACGACTTATGAGTATCTTTCGCCCATCCTTTTTTTACCTGACTTAAACATTTGTATGTTAGACGCGCCTTTTGTCGAATCAATAGCTCTCGAATCAAACCAGTTAAATCAAACCATTTACAATCTTTTGAGAGTATTTAAAACCGAAAAATTAAAAAATAAGTTATGTTAATGCAGTTTTAAATATGCATACTAAAAAACTTATGAGGGTTGATGCGTGCATACAGTCACTAGTACCCAGTAAAAATGAATCTAGTCTCACTCATTTCGAAGTTAATATGATTGTAATTGTTTTCACATTAAATTTTCATCTATGTTCGTTTTATGCTGATTTATGTCACGTTGAATAAACTTATTATACTAATCTAACTTATAAACTTATAAAATAGTAATTTTCTATTGACAAACTTTCTTATACACCGTTAATTAAATACAGAAATTGATATGGCAAATTATGCATATATCATGTATATGGTAGCATACATACTCATCCTGGAGAAGATGGTGAGTTACTACTCTTAACTCTTAACAGTGATGTGATTTCAGGATACAGTGACAAACTCTTTGATATGGTTTTACTTTTTATTACGAGTATTGGGTGATTGATAATGATACGATCATAAAGTGTTTTTACTACTTCTATTAACAAGAGCAACGAAACCTCCGGGTGCGGGATTTTCTCGCTGTGATGAAGACCCATTGGTGGTTCTCGGCTGTTTTCTGCTCTTTGGTCGGGTTGTTGTCTCATTCCCCATTTACATTCTCAATTTTATTCATTAGTGTGAGCATCATAAAAATTGTCATCTTCATTCAGAGTAAATAGTTTACGATAGCGTTTTACAAATTTTCAAATCTACATCTACGTAGTTGTTTACCTGTAAATTGAAACGAGTAACATACCTTTTTGCTTTTTAAATCCTGAAAAATAAACAACATGTACCATTCTATAATTTCGTTTGTCCTATTAGTCTGTTCATTTAAAGTTTTACCAAGTTTTGCCTTATCTAAAACGAATGGCGATACGGAAGAATTTATTTAACAAGTTTTGCTTCAGGCGATATTGATCATTGCGAACAATGACTGCTATTTCCTATATATCAACATGAAAAATGAAAGCCGAATGTTGATTTTGGAATTAGATGACTGATATTGCATGTACAAAGAAACTATCATGTCGAAGAATCCTTTTTTTTATTTTGCTTTGTTTTCATGCACTTACCACCGTATTCATGGCCATGTATGCATGTTTGCACCTAGACATTTAAGATTTGAAGCGATGCTAGACATGCTATATTCCGAGCAGATTTATATGCTTTGAACAACGTTAAACTACTGTCGTCTCGGATTCTATATACAACCTCATATGTACATGTAGACGAGAAAAGAGCTTGTACGGCGTCATATTTAAATACTATACTTACATTTTCCCTATAATTAAATAATAGAAAACCATTCTACATACAGCATTAATAAGTGTTCTTTTCTGGATATGGATATTTAAGTTTCACACGGGAAACTCTATACTAGAATTTATGACAAAAAAGACAATTTTTCGTTCTCAATTGTTAACAAATTCTTTCAAAGTTTTGGTTAGAAAATTTGGTTGTAGAATTTTGAAAACGGGATATAAAATTTTTATTTTTCCGGTGATGTTGTTTACAAAGCCAGTAAATTTAAACCCATATAAACTCATTGATCCTTTTAATAAATAATTCAAGGAAGTGAAATCTTTAAATGTTGTTATTGTTAAATATGAGTATTTTGATTTGCTAAAAAGAATGAGCACGCTTGACAGTCTAAAGGACATGGACAATTGTAACTCCTTGACAGAAATTCGTTTATTTGCTCTTGTATCACACGTTTAGTATTAATCGATTACTTCAAAGATAAAAAAAAAAAAAATCACACAAGAGGAACATTTGTATCGATCTGATAAGTTAAGCCCTTTTCAACTGATTTGTATAATTTGTTCTTATGTTGTACTGTTACACCTGTTGCCCCAGGTCGGGGAGGGTTGGCGTCTTCAAACATGGTTTACCCTGCCATATTCGAATGTGCCTGTCCCAAGTCAGGATCTTGTAGTTCAGTGGTTGTCGTTGGTTCATGTCTGTCATATTTGTTTTTTGGTAAATTGTTTTGTTATAAATTAGGCCGTTAGTTTTCTCGATTGAATTGTTTCACATTTTACATTTTGGGGCCTTTAATAGCCGACTATACAATATGGGTTTTTCTCATTGTTGAAGTCCGTACGGTTTCATATAATTGCTTACATCCACTTCATTTGAACAGTTGTCTCATTGAGGGGTAATACCAAATCTCCTTATTTTTTATATAGAACAGACCTTTGATTGATTAAGGTTTTCCTCCTTGGTAAGTGTCATGGGGATATATGTTGAGTTTCCAAGTGAATTGTCAATACCTTACTTCTTAATCAATCAGTTTATGTAATGTGATTTACACACAAAAACGGTATTATGTGGTGCTTTATGTGCGGGGACAACAAAATATTTGTCATGGAGGTAGAACAGATGCAATATTTAGATCGATGTAGCAAGTGTATTCATGGACTTATTCATTTGTTTTGTATTTTTAATTTGTATCAACAACTTTACAGCCTTTATCCACTCAAAAGAGTCTCTAAATCTTCTTTTTTGAGTTATGACCAATGCCTGGCATAATCCTCGACCGAATTCATCAGTACTTTGAGGTTGTGTTTCCAATTGATGGATTTAGGCTCAAAATAGTTCAGGCCGTTGGATAACACATTTCGCAATGAAGTGTTATTGGCAATGTCCACGTAACCAGTATTAACGTGGGCAACTGGATTATATAGGAATGGAGAACTAGCAGATGTGCAATAAGGAGGTTTAGACATGAAGTCCTTAATATTGAGATCATGCAACACGTGTTTGTAATTGAAAATTGAAATTTCAATTGGTTTGGTATAGGTATAATATATGATAGGTACAGACTGATACTTCTGTCAAAGCAAGCGGAGTAACATACTTTTTCATATGCTATCTTTTCAGTCGTATGCGTTGCTGCAAAGAAATGGTCACAGTTTCTGCCGCTGCACCTCAGAAAAGTATAGTTGTAAAGGGAGATAGATCATTGAAAGCGGATTCAAAATTTATAGTTTTTTCCATTTCTTTCCAAAGTGGACTTAGAAAACTATAAGATTCAAAGGGCGACATGCCTTTTCACCATATCTGTTTAAATCTAACTCGTCGATATAGTTATCTAAGTTTGTTAAACCAGTTAACTTAAGAATTGTCATTATGTCATTATGTCATAATTTTGCTTCAATATAACAAAAATATGCTTAACCGATATATCGGAAGCAACGATGTCGAAGTTACAGATATAATTATATTCTAATGCAATTATTTTGTATCAATGGTTCTGATTGGATGACAGTAAGCGTAAAATTCTCTATCTCCTTGTCTGTAACTAAGGAAGCCGACATTTTGAATTCCGGAATGTATTGACATGTAATTTCTCCTATAATAAGCAAAAAACTTACATTTTGCACCTACAAGTTTTCTTTTTATCAAATTTTATTCCATTCTGAAGCGGACAAGAAGCCAGAAAACGCCCGGTGTTTACGTTTGATGCCGGAAGCTTACCTATGACGTCACATAGTTTTGGGTGCCAAAGAAGATAACATCATTTCGCGGAATTTTTGTTTAATGAAAATTTTACACTGAAATAATGACTAAAATTCAACGATTTGTTTATTTTGCATTAGAATAGAGATAACTGTATTGTATTTGAAGCTTTGCGGACGTCCATCGGTAGTTTTACTGTCGCAAATATCCGTTTACTTGTATCCGCTACGCGTTGCCAGGTAAACTCAATTTGCGACAGTAAAACTACCGATGGACGTCCGCAAAGCTTCAAATACAATACAGTTATCTCTTAATTGTTTTGCTAATGTTATGGTAAATAATCACAACAGATTTTTACAATTTACAGTTCAAGACATATTTAAAAGGCTAAATTACTCACAGATCTGCTCACAACGGATATATTATCCAGAAATGAAGGCAAATACACAGGGTCTTGAGATTCCAATGCCTAAATAATAAATTAAATACTTATGTGATCAAATGAAAATCAACAGCTGTTATATATGCCCACCAAATGCCAGCAAACTCATACGTGTTGTATGTGGAGGTTTGCCCAGAAAATGTTCGACAGAGTACATATTACATTACTAGAAAAAAGGCGGCAAATACCAAAGAGATATTCAAAACTCATGCGTAAAAAAAATAAAACTGATAATGCAATGGAAAAAGTTACGAAAAACGTCAAAAAGACGAACAAATCCACAAAAGGCGGCATAGAAAACAAAACATTGAGCAACACGAACACCAACAAACATCGGGGGTTAATCTCATGCACTCAGGAAGGGTAAACAGTTTTTGCTGCATGTGTGGCACCCATCGTGTTGCTCATGTAAATACCAGTCCGGTGATATGCTTCATTCGGTGATGTCATAATCGAGATAAAGGAAGGGATTGTGATTACGACATTTGGAACATATCTGAATCATCTGTGATACAGATATTCCAATACGGTAAACCAACTCGTGTGATGTGTGCATGAAATTTCGCAATCGAGAAAGAGGAAGGGATTGTGATTACAACATTTGGAACAATTCTGAGTCATCTGTGATACAGATGTTCCATTACGGCCAACCAACTCGTGTGAGGCGTCCATGAAATTTCGGAGTAATGAATTTAACGTCATCACTTGGAACCCTTGGTCCAATTGCTTCCTTATAAGCAGCAACCCTATATCAAGGAAATTCTAATAGAAAGCGTATCAAATATATTGAAAACTGTTTTAGATAGAATATTGCAATATGATATTTGTAAACAGTGAAAATCGAAAAAAAGAATATAAGGAACTTATTTTCTCCTTTCCATGCTTATCGCCTTTCAAAATTTTAATTCTGGTATCAATGATGAGTTTAATCACAACCACTGGGTCGATGCCACTGATGCATGAGGATTCTCCCCGAGAGTATCACCAGCCTAGTAGTCAGAACTTCTGTGTTGACATGAGTTATCATTGATATGGTCATAATAATTATAAATTAATTGTCTATAAAACTTTGAAATTTTCGAAATACTAAGGATTTTTTTTTACCCAAGGAATCGATTACTTTAGCTGTATTTGACAAAACATTTTGGAGTTTTTGGTCCTCTATGCTCTTCAACTAAGTAGTGTATTTGGCCTTTTTAACGTTTTTTAATCGAGCGTCACTGATGAGTCTTTTGTAGACGAAACGCGTGTTCTGTCGTACAAAATTTTAATCCTGGTATCTATGAGTTTATTCACAGAACAAAATAAAAAAGATGCAGAAAATTCTTGTCTTTATATTAGAAACAAGATTTTCACAAACATCCTTATAAAGAACGACACATAGCCGGGATGACTAGATTTTCAACTAATCATCTTTCTTTTAAAGTTCCCACTACCATTTTTCTACCATAAAATATAACCCTCATAAATATTGCGATGAGATAAATTCAAACAGCGATGCACATTTGATCTGCATTTCTCAAAAAACTAAAGATATACTTCAAAATCTCCAATCACAATCTCAAAATGAATTTAATTGATCTATCTAAGCTCTACACTACTATTCCTCAACTTCAATTACAAGTTACACCTTCTCCGTTCCGTTTGCTACAAAAATGCGAATAAAAGATACAAATTTATTATGTTAGGTAAAGAAAACGGACCACTCTGATTTCAATAACAAAAAAAAAAAAACCACTGAGGGTAATATTATTAAAATGCTGGACATTGTGATCGACAACAAATATGTTGCTTATGATAAATTGATATATTTCAACAGACAGTCGATATTGAAATGGGAACTAATTGTTCTTCCCCACTGGCTGACTCGTTTTTGACTCATATGAAGCAGAATTCATTCTGAAAGACATAACAAAAAATCGTCTTGCAAAGCTCTTTAAATTTCTCTTTCATATATATTGACGATGTCCGGTCACTCTATTGTCCACATTTTAGTGAGGGCTTTGATCTCATATATCCCAGTACACTTGAGTTTCAGGATATTACCAAAGCGTAACTGCATATTGTCAACTCACAATTCATCAGCAGTAACTTACCCTCTACGTCATCGTTTGGCGGTTACATATCCTAAATAACACGACACGCTTGGTATGTTTACACAATATAGACTCCATTAACAGGGATGTGTTCCTGACGCAAAAACTGCTCCAACAAAGATATGAGGAATACTGATTGAAATTGACACTACATAAGTTTTAAGGTCAGTACCACGAATCGCATTTCGGAACTCACTAGCCTAATTTGTTTGCGGTCTTAGATTTGTAGAAACAATTAAATCGTTTGATCTGTCAAACTATTAATTATGTCCTATTCTTGATTGTGACATTTTGACTTAGTATGGATTCTACTTGCAAATGGTGCATGCCTACCAGGAGACACTTACCTGATCTACACATGCGGTCTCACTTCTGGTGGAGTAAATGTGATTCCCTCCCCCTTTTTACCCTTATTTGCATCATAATGGATGAGATCTGAACATCGCTACAGAATTGTCGCCACTAATTAAAAATGGTCAAATAAAGTACAAAGTTGAAGGGCATTGAGGGCCAAAAATGCGTTTCTACAAATCAGATAACGAGATCTTGAAGTTCTTTATTTTCTACACAGCTGTTTCTTATTTTTATTTAGCGTAATTCCCAGAGAATTTTCGAAAAATTATGAGTCTGGTAATGGAGCCCTTACTCTATTGTTTAAAAAAATCAAACTGATAATTCTTTAGAATAATTCTTTTTGTCAGATTTGTTTCCGATTTCTCAGAATTCCTTGTCACATAGGGTATAAAACAATACAGAAAATCATGTTTTATTTAAGGGAAAAAAGAATTTTACAAGCTTATAAAAAACATACACATTTGTGTTTTAGGCTGCACTGTACAGATCCATCTTAGGCCTGATGTTTGCAATATTGAATTCTTTAACTGAATATACACAAATTTAGCGAATAATTATTTCACTATTTCCCTTCCACTTATAAATCAACAAACAAAATAAAATCATATTCTAACTTTTTTTAATATCTCGTAGCTTATGCCCCCTTAATTTACATAAAAGTTCAAATAAAGTGGATGTAAGCAATTATAGGCAACCGAACGGACTTCAACAAAGAGAAAACCCATACCGTATAGTCGGCTATAAAAGGCCCGGACATGAAAAGTATGAATCAATTCAATTATGAAAACTAACGGCCTAATTTATAACAAAACAATTAACGAAAAACAAATATGGCAGACATGAACCAACGGCAACCACTAAACTACAGGCTCCTGACTTGGGACAGGCAAATGAAGAATGTGGCGGGGTTAAACATGTTTGTGAGCGCTCATCCCTCCCCCTAACCTAGGATAGTGGTGTAACAGCCCAACATAAGAATAAACTATAAAAATCATTTGAAAAAGGCTAATGTCTATTTATCGGTTATCCGTTTTACTAGAAAATACGTTTCTGCAAATCACAGAACATGATCTTGAGGAACATTTCATTTTCTACCCAGCTGTTTCTTTTTTTTTATCTATCATTGATCCATATACCTGCGTGATTATAGACACAAGCGTCATTTCCAAAGAATTCTTGAAAAATTATGTGTCCGGTAATGGAGCCTGTAATCAATTGTTCAAAAAAATCAAACTGATAATTCTTTAGAATAACGCTTTTTGTCAGATTTGTTTCCGATTTCTCAGAATTCCATGTCACATAGGGTATAAAACAATACAGAAAATCATGTTTTATATAAGGGAAAGAGAATTTTACAAGCGTATAAAACATACATTGTTTTCAGGCTGCATTGTACAGATCCAGCTTAGGCCTGATGTTTGCAATATTGAATTCTTTAATTCTATTTAAAGGAATATTGAATATACACAAATATCGTACGATTTAATGAAAACAAGCACCCCTATCTATTAAAGCAAAGAACTACCTCTAGACTGTAACTTGAAAGTAAGATTTTATCAACAGAATTAAAATTAATAGATATGGTTTTACCTGATGGGGATTACTTTCCTCTTCATTTTCGTCATTGAGTCTGACATCGTTATTATCGTATGTAAAAGGAGAACGTGTATATATAACCTTTAACAGAAAACATAAACGGTTAAAAGTTGTCATAGCTGACATATACTTTCGAAATGTAAAACTCATCGCAAATAAAAAAAAAAGATAAAAGGCAATGCGATGTGTAGTTCGTAGCAAATTAATAATTTCACTTGTAAATTGAGCCATAAAGTTTTTTTTTTAGATAATTCAAAGGAAAACTCTTGAACAGTAAATGAGATAATGACGAAAATTGATAGTGAGATGAAATAAAAAGCTACAAAAATATACCCACTTCGTCAACACGGGGACGAAAAACCTGTGGCCACGTTCTACTATCGTGCAATGGAATATCTCTGGTCTGCAAAAAGAGTAAATTTAATTTGTATACAATTGTAATTTCAAAACTACAGTAATACATTTACTTTTGTGTGATAAAACAAAAGACAAATATACTTATCTCTATGAATTGATAAACAAAAGGCTCTCAGAAGCCTGAATATCTCACCTGGTCATAAAATTAACATTTATATTATCAGCAATAGAGGCAACAAAAACCAATATAGCCTTTCAAGAACAATAACCATAAAAAGAGTAGTTTTTACGATTTCTATCACGTTATTTCGTCTAGATCTTGTCTAACGTTTATCAGTTTCACTCTATCTAGATAATTTCTAAAATGTCTATATTTGGTGACAACTTGCCATTTAGAGGCAGTCACTCCTATTAGAATTTGTGCGAAACATGCAGTTATGCTAAACTATTGATAAATATATCTTATTTGATTTTCATTGCTGTTGAAATATCTCTATATCTAGAGTTATAAATGTCATATTTTCAATTTTGATTTTCATTCGGAAGAAAATAAATGAGAAAATGTAGAATATTTTATAACTGAAAAGTTTCAAAAATTTAGTTTCTAAGAAGTTTTTTAAACAGTTTCGAACATCATTGTAATTACTTGTGATTTCGGTCGTGTTAACTTTTTTCTTATTAATTTTCTTTAGCTTATTATTTGCTGTTTATAGTTTCTCTCTATCCATTGTAGACGCCTATGATTTATCAAAAACGACGAAATGGATAAGAACGTCAAAATTTTGCTTTTATATTTGTAGATCTTGTCTTGCTAATCAAAGTTTTCTTTATCTATAAAAGTTTTCAAGATTATATCCGAAAACTGCGAAATTGGCTTCATTAGATTAGGGAATTAATAAAAAAATAGGTTGTCCGATTTTTCTTAAAAGTTATTAATGTAGATATATATGGATATAAATTGATAAAATTGACCTATTGATTATCTTTGATCTTGACAATTTTCTCCAATTCTTGTAATTTTTAGATCAAATAAAATACAAGCAGTTTTTCCTCTGTGCTCTAGTTTAAAATATAAATATCGTGATCATGGTGTGCATTTGTATGGAATAAAATTGTCATCGTCTAAAGGAAATGCAATAATTATTCCTGCAAAATTTCACAGTTTTTGGTAATATGGTTTCAATGAAGATTTTTGAAAAAAAACTGTACGTTATTTTATTTGGCGGCATTTTGTCCAAGGTTATGATTGTCTTTCTGATATTGTTTTACATCTAACCCCCTTGTTTTATTAATTTTGTATTTACAATGTGTCATAGATCAAATTTATTCGTTCAGTGTATGTTCACTTGTTTTTGTTAATATGTCTTTTGATTGAGTTAAGCCATTGCAATTGATATTTCATAGTGTGTCTTTCTATGTTGTGATGTTACACTATTGTTTCAGGTGAGGGTGAAGGTTGGTGCCTATTAAAACGTTTAAACCCGCTGCATTTGTTTGCACCTGTCCTAAGTCAGGAACCTGATGTTCATTGGTTGTCGTTTGTTGATGTGGTTTATAAGTGTTTCTCGTTTCTCGTTTTTTATATAGATTAGACCGTTGGTTTTCCTGTTGGAATGGTTTTACACTAGTCATTTTGGGGCCCTTTACAGCTTACTGTTCGGTGGGAGCCAAGGCTCCGTGTTGAAGGCCGTACTTTGACATATAATGGTTCACTTTTACAAATTGTGACTTGGATGGAGAGTTGTCTCATTGGCACTCATACCACATCTTCCTATATCTATTTACGACGGGCATAAACACAAAAATAATCTACTGTTCTCATATTTGAAATTGTTATAATATTAACGGTTCAAATGATACTGAGTAAGATGCGCATTTTGATAACTAGTATCTCTTAAGTTATTCTCGGAGCCAAAATATTTGAAAGTTCAAAATCAAAGATCTGATTAAAAAACAAAATTAAGTTCTCGTAAAAATTAATATAACAAAAATACCGACTTCCAAGGAAAATTTATTTTTGAAAGTTCAAAATCAAAGATCTGAATAATAAACAAAATTAAGTTCTCGTAAAAATTAATATAATAAAAATTCCGACTTCCAAGGAAAATTTATTTTTGAAAGTTCAAAATCAAAGATCTGAATAATAAACAAAATTAAGTTCTCGTAAAAATTAATATAATAAAAATTCCGACTTCCAAGGAAAGTCGTTTATCAAAAGACAACATCAAAAGCTCAAACACATCAAAAGAATGGAAAACAACGGTAATATTCCTAACTAAGTACAGGCATTTCCTTAAGTCAACATTGTATTATAATCTTAATCACTATAACAACAAATAAACTATTTCAACAAAGAAACACAAAAATGGCATAAAGATACTCTATAGACAATGTACATGAGCAAAAATGAAAGACAAGATTACGAAAATAACCTTAGAACAATAACACAATGGCGGGATGTATAAATACCGAGCCATGCCAAAAGTATATTACAAAAAATTGAGTAAACAATAAAAATAAAGGTTAAAAATATACAAAGACAAAGAAAATTATAACACTTAAATAAGATGAAAAACAACGTCAGTACCTAGAATCTATACTTCAAGACCATAATGTATCATTTAAGAAGGCGGAGGAAGCAATGTTTGTTGTTTCTTTAATTTCTAGTTCTGGATGATATATTAATGGAACTCAATCAGAAAATTTTGGATTGTTAACGGAATGAACATCATCAATATATCTGAATGTGAAATTTAATGATCTGGCTTCTTTGATCTTTGAAGTGTCTGATGAAACTCCGACTAATATGAAAATTAGAAAAGATCGACAAGAAGAGTCGCACAGTTCGTTCCCATAGGATACTGATATCTGTGTAGCATGGTTTACCTTTTGTTAACTTTTAACAAAATATGTCGTATGGTATCCCAAAGCAATACATTTGTAGCGTATGGTACCATTTTTATATTGAAAGCATTGTGGATTATTTCTTTTAGACGGAGTTTCAATGATACATGGGGAATTATGGTAAACATGGTTGAAAAATCAAAAGTTTTGATAGCATTAACTTCAGAGAAAGATCGAGATTTAAAAAAGTTTTTTTGAATCCACATACGTGGTAAACAAATTTCCACATAAACTAACTATATTTAGAAGCTTTCTTTTATTTAGAGACTATGAAACGAACCTGTTGCTGTTGATGGAATCGCGTTTTACCCATATACATTCTGTTTTTGAAATTAGGATAATCCTGAAATAAGAAAGAATAACTCGTCAATAATTTCTAATTAATTAAGAAAATAATTGTGCATAAAATTTAAATTGAGAATGGAAACGGGGAATGTGTCATAGAGACAACAACCCGACCAAAGAGCAAAACACAACCCGAGGCCACCAATGGGTCTTCAACACAGCGAGAAAATCCCGCACACGGAGGCGGGCTTCAGCTGGCCCCTAAACAAAAAATGTGTACTAGTTCATCAAAAATGGACGTCACACTAAACTCCGAAACATATAAATAAACCAAAATTAAAAAAAAATAAACAAACCTAACAAAAGGCCAGAGGCTCCTGACTTGGGACAGGCTCATAAATGCGGCGGGGTTAAACATGTTGTGTGAGATCTCAACCCTCCCCCTATACCTCTAGTCAATGTAGAATAAACAAACAAACAGCAATACGCACAGTAAAACTCAGTTTAAAAGAAGTCCGAGTCCGATGTTAGAATAGGTAACAGAAAAAACTAAGCAAAATGACAATGATACACAAATTAACAAAGGACTACTAGCAATTTCTGACATGCCAGCTCCAGACCTCAATTAAACTGATTGAAAGATTATGTCTCCATCATATGAAAATAAAGCACAATCCCTCCCGTTAGGGGTTTAATATCATACCATCATAAAATATACGAGAATAACATACCGTATCATGCCATATACAGTCTTATTTATATTTGATTCTGACCTCAGGAAAGATTTGCTCATTTTGTGTCAGTTAAATGTGTTAAAACTACTAACCGTATTTAATCGCATATAATAGAATTGTTTAGCAATTCAATTTTTTTTCCCTGATTGTCATCCTTTAAACAACAATCGTAATGTTTATTTCCTTATTGTGATATTCAATAATGGAATCAGACATTATTATGACTTGAAATACTTCTTGGGAGCTTTAAATTTCACGTGATTTTTTTTACATCTTTTTTGGCATGATCTGAACCTATCTTCATTTCAAGGTTAGTTATGAAAACAAATGCCAGGACAGACGATATCTGCTGATATTATTGATTGATTGTTGGTTTCTTAACACTGATATTATTGATAATGACATCAAACAAATCCGTCGTTTAGTGATTCTTCTTGATATATAGGAACATAATAATATACGATGATGAATATAATTATGTAAGTTATAATGGAGAGTAACGAATCTTGTAATATACCAAAGTTATATTCGTTTTTTTAACCTCCTGTACATTTCTAGGAATATCAATGGCTTAAAACGAACACGTTGAGACCGTATTTATTTGTTCAGTGGGCGTGTTTTATTATAATACAAAGTTAGTAGTGGTGTTACATCCCGTTATTAAAACAACATGGCGTTGAAGAAAAATTTGAAACGTTTCGCCCAGACAACCTATGACGAATTTAATGATAAACGATTGAAAATGAATCTTAAGCTAACAAATTGTTATTGTTGGCTATTGTTTTCGTATATAACAACAGAAACAGATTCTTAATATTGAAGACTTGGTCATTTTGATAGGACAATAGTCGGTAAAATAAATTCGCTCAAAACCGATCCGATATGACTGCTCTCGTATAATTCGTGTTTGGTCACTAGCGCACTGTGTTTGCTCTCATCCCACATGAAATTTACTAACCTGTATATATAGTATTTTCACTAGCACACCGTGTAACTAATAATTTGTTTATTATATAAGAGTCTAGAAAACCACTTACCCCCAAATTTACGTAGTTACGGATGGTATAAAAACGGCGATGCCAAACACACAAAAACAAATCATAAACGTTTAAATATCTGTTCAACGATACTGATAAAAATAAGAAAATCGTATTGACAAATAGATCGGCGTAACAAATAATGTATATTTATTTTTGAATAATAAATACAAAAACACAAAGAATTGCAAAGTAATATCTGTTTGCACTATCTGCCTTAGTTTCGACTTGTTAGATTCACTTCTTCTACATCGATCAGAATTTTATATAAATATGGAATATGCCGTCGTGGAAAGACAAGAACTTGGGCAATGCCAAAATTTAATGGATAGAAATCAAACTAGAAGAAGTATACTTAACAACAAAATTATTTTCATTTACCTGTGTATAATATGACGCAGGTTTCTTCAAAAGTGATGATTTTCTATAAATTGTTTGAAATTTCACAGTGATATCATAATTTAACTTTGTTTAAACCTGTTTATTTACTTTTGACTTTAATTATTTATCCCTTGTAATTTTTTATTAACTGTGTATTTGCATTCAGGTGTCACAGGTCAAATTTATTCGTTCATTGTGTGTTAATTTACGTTTTTTGATTGAGTTAAACCTTCCAATTGATATTTTATAGTGTGTTTTTCTATGTTGTGATGTAATACTATTGTTTCAGAAAAGGGAGAAGGTTTGGTACCATTAAAACGTTTAATCCCGCTGCAAATGTTTGCACCTGTCTTAAGTCAGGAATCTGATTACAGTAGTTGTCGTCTGTTTATGTAGTTCATACGTGTTTCTCGTTTCTCGTTTTTATATAGATTAGACCGTTGGTTTTTCCGTTTGAATGGTTTTACACTAGTATTTTTTTGGGGCCCTTTATAGCTTGCTGTTCGGTGTGAGCCAATGCTCCGTGTTGAAGGCCGTACCTTGACCTATAATGGTTTACTTTTATAAATTGTAACTTGGATGGAGAGTTGTCTCATTGGCACTCATACCACATCTTCCTATATCTATTAAAAATAAAATGAGACATTCTTAGAAATGTGTAGTTTTTATTTCTACCGTGGCTTTTTGCGAATTCTTTTTTAATCATCCAAGTAAGTCACAAAAAAACATAAGATTGATCAAGCTTAACTCACGCTTTTGTTGGAAGGGACATGTATACCCGGCTGCAGCATAAACCTCTCTGTTGTCTCGTCAACGACATCGGAATTCTGGAAGATATTGAATACAACCAAGTTTAATGATTTATTTTATTATAATTTGCTTACGTTTTAAAGCATACTCCTCAAAAGTTATATGGAACGCAAAACTTATGGAATTGGTAATACATTATAAATATATATAATACATTATTGGACTAATTTATTCATTGACATCAACGAGTTTATTGTAAAAGTTGATTCGGAGATCTTTCAAACAGTGTAAGTGAGATTAATTACGAGGAACTGTTCAACTTGGGTTGAAATACTTAAAAGGAATATGAGTCTTTTGTAAATCTATAGCTTTCACAGGGGCCTTCAATTTTACCAAAAAAAAAACCCAGAAAAATTATGATCTTTTCTCTCTTAGATTTGCGTCTCGAAACGATGCACTATCTTTGAAAAAAAGGGGGGGGGGGAATCTAAAATGAAACCTCAAATTAAAAAAATTATGAGTATAACGGACAATAAGTGGCAGTATTTGGCGAAATTTAACCCATTGACCGTCATTATTTTCTTTTTAAGTCAAAAGTTCACAAAGTATATCATTAGATTTTATTAGTTATCACACTGGGTATGTAGTTCATTCTGTACAAATCACCTTCAATATGCTTGTTTGCTACGGTGTGTATATTTACATATAACATGCAGTCTGACAGCAAAACATTTTTACAACCTGAATATCTTATATAAAAAGGAGCGACATGATGCTACTGTTCTAATATAGTAATGTATATGATTTTGAAATAATTACATAAAATCAACAATTAATAATATACAAATAATATTCACAATTTAGAACATCTAAAGCGTCCAGCTTTTGACGGGTACGTGTTGCTAGGTCTTTAGTTTTCTATGTAGTGTCTGTCTTTTCGTCGTCTTTTGCTTTAGCCTTCTTTGTGAGTTTTGAATGTTTACATGGTAATTTTCTTTTATATTTATGTGCATTAGTACTCATCAAGAAATTCTTAAATACGGACAGTTTGTACTGAAGCCGAGTCCTGTATCTAAAAATTGAAGTTATTACCGTATTCTATTCAATTAAGTAGCTAAAAAACAATCATTTTACTAAAACGCGATTTTGTACAACCAATATGAATGTGAATAAACAATTTTAAACCAAAAACAGTTCTTATTTTTTTATTTGATTAATATACATGTATCTATTTCCCTGAATAAACTTTGAGTACATTGTAAAGTAACTTGAGTACATATAACCAGTGAAGACCAACATCATCGTTCTTTAACAATATTTATCCCTGAAACTAATAACAAACAGGGTATGTCAATGTGCTTTTTATTAAAAAATGATAGCAGTTCGCGCTCGTTTACTCATTCACTACTTTACAATCTCTCCCAATTTCGTTCAGGACAGTAATAACTACCGAATTTATGCTGGCCGTCGGGGTATTTATGTCCACAAAAGATCCACTATCTCCGATAAAAACAGGATTTGTATGCATTTGTCTTGCTTCATGTTCAGCCTATAACAAATGGTATTTTCTGTTGATAATATATACATTTGATTATTGTTATACTTTCCATTGAAGATAAAATTAAAATCGAACAATCACATTTTTTAAAAACTAAATGCAAGTGCTAGCAATATGTTGGCAGTATTTACCAAAATTAAATATAAGTACTAATCTAAATTCATATTCTTTAGATCGTCAAATATATACTAATTGTGAATACTTTTTTTTTAATTGATGAGGGTCCCAAATATTGATTTCATTTTGTTGATAAACAAAACTGTTTCAGATAGATGCAAGAAAGTAAACTAGAGCTAACTTTTGTCGTGATTTTCTTATTAAATATTAACATTTAAACCCATCATCCGAAAACATAGATTATTGTGTTAGTTGACATATTTCTTTTTTAAAACATACAATCTTAACTGAAGAAAAATTGCAAAAGATAGAGCGTTGAAATAGATAAGATATTTCAATATCTTTGTGGTTCTTCTGATTGCAACAAAACAACGTTTTTGGACTGATACATCGAAACCTTCCAATTTTTTAAAATTACAATATTGAAACCTTTAGAAAATTTAACTAAATAATAATGATTTAATCGAAAAAAATGAAAACAACACGTTATATAAATTTCATGCGTCCGAAGCGCTTTTCTGGATTTACCTTAATCAGGAACGCTCAAAGCCAAATATTTGAAAGCAATGGATTTATAAGAACCGAAACAATGGAAGAGCTATATGACCAACAATAACCTTATAAAATAGCCAAATCCATCTAAGACCTACTTTGCCTGAGGGAGTTGAAACCTTAGTTTCTTTATAATTTCAAAATTTATAAACGGACAATTTTAGAAAGGATTGTTATAAATCATATCAGTACCGAAGTACTGACTACTGAGCTGTTGATGACTTATGAAAAGGAACAACAAACATGACACCATTCCGTCCTAAAGAATATCATGCATTGTTAAATGACAACACTGACAACAGTTTATGTGGACATTAATATTTTATGTGGAAGACGTTGATCCACTCAATCTCTCTGATTTCGTTCATAGTCATGTGGATAAGGAAGATGTGGGTATACGTCAATGAAACAGCTACCAAACAGCAACGATAACCAAAACATATCTATACAGAGCAATATAGAGTTTCCAAAAACAGACAGGTGTTTATACATGTCTAACTCTTAATGAAAAGTCACGAATAAAGAAATTAGAACAATTTACCTAATATTTTCCGAAATCACTTCCGAAAGCCCGATTCTGTTTTAAAATTAAATTGAGTATACGAATTATTTCCCTTGTTGAGAAGTATACTGGTATAAATACTGGTTCGCTGCAGTACAGAACAATGGTTAGAAGTAAGACAGAAAACAACGCGTTACTTTAATGTATAAACAATTCCAGCATCGGCAGGGGTTCAAATCCTTCAATACACTTTATCGCTATTTAGTCCAAACCGGAAACACAGCTACGTAGACAACTTTCTGACAAAGGTCATCAACAAACGGCAACCACTGGAATAATGACTTTGTCAATGCCACAAAATATATGTATCGACTGGTGTAGGACAATAAGTGTAGCAATACATATTTAGTTTTGTTTTAAGCTATTAATAACAAAATCAATATCAGTACCGATAAAGACAATATTGAAAGAAATGTCTAAACGGCTAAATTGCCAACCTTAAAGATAAGTTTATTTAATGGATCAATAAGTTGCTGCTTTGGTATCTTCTCTCTGGTTTTTTTTTTACATGATCGGATCTAAATGTACGTGCTCTATAGACAACATCCCCGTAAAAAATTAAAGTTTCTATAGGTTCAACCAAACTTCTAAACCAAATCTTTGTATTCAGAAAACAATTTCGTGCAAGGTTTTCGTAATTTGTGGTAATGAAATCATGGTGTCAAGTTTCGTCAGTATTCGTCCAGGAGTTAAGGAAAGGTGGCACAAACAAGGCACACAGAGATATAGACATACTGACAGATGGACGAACGATTGGCTGGGGTGATTCCTATATACTCCAAAGACTTTGTTCTCGGAGTAGAATAAAGACAAACAGACAGCCATCAGTCAACAAAACCATACACAAACTACAAACAAAATATCAATCAAAATGAACCCAACAAAAAAACGGAATAAACTAAGTGATCTGTAAGGAAAATTTGTTCTTGCTCTACTAGTGACACTCGTCATGTGACTCGTGTCAAGGAAAATCCATAGATTAGTTCCATTCGATGATTTTACAATCGAGGCAATGAACATTGTATCTAGAATAAGTGAAACATAGCCTATGCCAACTACAACATGCACATGTACTTTTAACTTACTGTAAAAATTACATAAGGCTCACTGCTGGCATTACTATTGTCAGTTGAGCTTAAATTTGGATTTGTTTCTTCTCCCTCACATGCTGTGTTGGAATGTTCACCCTTTTTACTTTTGAATTGTCTTGCAAAACAAAAAAGAAGTTATTAAATCAAATAAGTTTTTCGATTTGATTAAGTAAAGCTGAATAATTTTATATAAACTTAATTTGGTACGTTTTCCACAGGTAGAAATATATAATCTAGTGGTAATTGAAGACCCACGTTTTATGTATATGTTTTGGAATATATAGCAATTTTAAGATAACCACAAAAAATGTAAATAAAGGTCAATGTGCTACAAACGATAGAATAAAGCTGAAAACATAAACTTAAAAAAAATGAGTATAGAAGAACTAACGATTTCGTAAGATGTATTAACATAAAGCTTAGAAATTTGAATTGTCCATATGGATAATCCTTTCCCATGGAAACACATATAAAATAGTCTGTATTCCTATATCAATCCATTTTGGTCCTGATCAATTTCTGCATAAAGTGTGAAATAAATTTGAAAATAAAAATTTTAATGCTTTTTCTTTGCTGTATAAAGATTAGTAGGGACATGCTGTGGTTAAAATGTTCACTTCCAAGTTGACATTTCTCAGTTCCAACTTAACATTTCGCACTTCGAAGTGGGCATTCCTCACTTATAACTTGATGTTTCTAACTTCCAAGTTTACCATTTTCACTTCCATGTTGACATTTTGCAACGTTACAATACTCACTTTCGAGTTGACATGTTTAAAAATTTCAAGTTGACATTACATCAGTATTAATTTGACCTTGAGCAGTTCTAATGTGACATTTTGCAATTCCAATGTCTCCCTTCCAAACTTAAATTTTTCAGTTCCAAGATAACGTTCCTCACCGCCAAGTTGGAACTGAGAATTATCAACTTAAAACTGAGATATGTCAACTTTAAAGTGAGAAATTTTAACAACATAATGTCACTACTGGTCTTTCGTGTGCGAATACATTTAATGGATATACAAGCATGATATGGAGTTTACTTTTCCATAGCTGTTTCACAGTCAGTCAGTCAGTACACTTATCAATAACGAATTCACATAAATGTTTGTTTCAATGTATTATTTGATAATTGTAGTATACCAACTAATTACTTTATTATTATATATAAATTTACTTTGAATGGGAATGCAAACTTACCCTATCATTTTAAGATCTATGAAAGCAGGTAAGTAAAGAACAACTGATGGGACAATGTTCTGAAATTTAAATAGATGCATTGACGCATTTGCGAATTTATTTTACCAAATAAAGACACAAGAGTTTAGTGAACAATGTTACAGTTATTGTGATTTACCCCGGGTACTTTCTTGTCATATTATTTTTTGAAACCCGGGAATCTATAACATACTTATATTCATTTGACTCCTTAGACTGAATTGTGATTCATCTTAAACTACAAATGCACGAAGAGTGTGTGTACAGGCATTACAATCTACTTGGATAATAATAAAAAAAAACTTTTAACTTTAGCATGACTCACCCGCCAGCAGGTTTATCATCTGAAATATACAATGAAGATTATAAAAGGGATACACTTAAATATCTTTTTCTACTCTAAAACAACTTAAGACGATATTATCCTAGAAGAGATTTTAGTCAATTCTACCGTAGAAGTGTCTTATGTGGAGCAGGTTCTTCTTACCCTTCCGGAGCACCTGCTATCACAAGGTTTTCGGTGGGGTTCATGTTTCTCAGTCTTTAGTTTTTTCTATGTTGTGTTTTGTGTACTATTGTTTGTCTGTTGGTCTTTTTTTTGGCATGGCGTTGTCAGTTTATGTTCAACTTATGAGTTTGAATTTCCTTTTGGTATCTTTCGCTACTCCTCCAGAATTGCCAGAGAAAAGAACCTAACAGTTCTATTTCTGGAATAGTTTGGACAGCTGTATTTACTTAATTCAATTTAATTAATTAGCTGATTATTTAATTCATTTATATATTTATTTGTCTTATCTATTTATTTTCTTCCTTCCTTTTTTACTTAATTTTCTAATTTCTTTTTTTTTATCTTATTTTATATATTTTAGGAAATCGTTGTTTCTTTTCATAATTATTTATATTTATCATTATATATGTTTCTTAAATTTGAAACAAATTAATTGTTTTTTCTTGTCAGTTTCATCAATTGATGTTATCAGCGTATACCAAAATAAACATAATAAAACTAAACCAGATATGTATAAATACATATATTTATTTTATGTCATAATCTTCAATCCGGTAAACCCAAGTATAAAAAATACTTCCAAAGAAAATAATAGAGGAAGCAAATGTGCAATCCAAATATCTTACATTAAAAGAGAGGCGAAAGATATAGAAAGGATATTCAAACTCATTAATAAAAAGAGATTTATCCTGCTGAACTGACTTTAAATAAAGCTAATACTAACAATGAACACTGCCCTTTCCTGGATCTTGATATCTATATCTTAAACGGGAAGCTTAATACCAAAATTTATGATAAAAGAGATGATTTTTCATTTCCTATTGTAAATTATCCATTTTTAGATTATGACATTCCCTTGTCACCATCTTATGGTGTTTATATATCTCAACTTGTTCGATTCGCTTGTGTTTGTAACAACGTATTTGATTTCAACGAAAGAAATCTCTGTATTACTGAAAAATTATTACACCAGGGTTTTCGATATCACAAACTAGTCAAAACATTTACTACATTTTATCATCGGTACAAGGACATCATTCGTAAATATAAATCAACATGCAGACATCTTATACGTTCAGGTATTTCACATCCAATATTTTATGGTAATATTCTTTACAAAGCACAAAAATGTCGGCATTCACCTCAAAAGCTAACCAAATCTTTAAACAGACTTGTTCGGAAAGGATATAGTTACGATACTGTTGTCAGGTCATTAAGGATTGCATATTTTGGTATTAATATTGATTCACTCATAGGGTCTTTGCATCGGAATATAAACACATTTATTCTAAAACTAGTTGTTGGCATGATACGGGTTATGTTCTTCTCATATATTTTATGATGGTATGATACTAAACCCCTAACGGGAGGAATTGTACTTGACTTTCATATGATGAAGACATAATCTTTCAATCAGTTTAATTGAGGTCTGGAACTGGCATGTCAGTAACTGCTAGTAGTCCTTATTTAATTTATGTATCATTGTCATTTTGCTTTGTTTCTTTTGTTACCTATTCTGACATCGGACTCGGACTTCTTTTAAACTGAGATTTACTGTGCGTATTGCTATGTGTTTCTTTATTCTACATTGGCTAGAGGTATAGGGGGAGGGTTGAGATCTCAGAAAACATGTTTAACCCCGCCGCATTTTTGCGCCTGTCCCAAGGCAGGAGCCTCTGGTCTTTGTTAGTCTTTGTATGTTTTTTAATTTAAGTTCATTTATATGTTTTGGAGTTTAGTGTGACGTCCATTTTCACTGAACTAGTACACAACTTTATTTAGGGGCCAGCTGAGGACCACCTCCGCGTGCGGGATTTTCTCGCTGCGTTGAAGACCCATTGGAGGCCTTCGGCTGTTGTCTGCTCTTTAGTCGGGTTGTTGTCTCTTTGACATATTCCCCATTTCCATTCTCAATTTTATTAGAACATCCTGCTTCACATGTGACACCCGTAGTGTTACTCTTATAAATGCGATTTGGAGTTAAATCAAATAATTAAGAATCTAGCCTTTTTTAAAACAGTACTATCTAACCCTATGACATAACTAAATTCGTATCTCATCGGTCATGTAAATTTCCGAAGCGTGAACTTGACCGGGTGTGAAATTTTCAATTGAAGCCGATTTTTCATGACAAAGGATGGACAAGACTGATACCAATTATATAAAAAAACACAACATTGAAAATCATAAAGCACAACGAACAACACTTAAAAGTAAAACAAAATCAACACGAGCCCTTTCAAACAGAAATAATGATAATCTTATGTGCTCTGGAAGGGGAAGTAGATCCTGATCTACATGTGGCATTCGTCGTATTGCTCATGTAAGTACAAACCGGTGGTAAGTCGAATTCGGTAGGTCACATTCGATTAAAAGGAGACGGGATTGTGGTTTCGACCAGCGAAACATATCCATCGTCACATCTGAAACAGATGTTCCATAACAGACAACCAACACGGTATAGGATCAGAAAAACAAAATGAAAACAACACGTTATTAATTTCATTCGTCAAAAGGTTTTTTTTTTTTACCTTCACCAGGAGCTCTCAAAGGCGAATATTTGAAAGCCGAATGAATATTAGAAGGGATGATTTCAAATTCTCCACTTGAAACTCTTGGTTTAATAACTTTTTTAATTAGCAGCGATCCTCCATGAAGGAAATTACTGCAGGAAATGCGAGCTCTGGAATATCGTATCAACTGGGAGATATATACTCCATAAGCAGGCGCTGCTGGAATGTTACTACGTAGAAATGGAAAGTTTTCAATTCGGAAGCTGAAATCATCTCTTTCGTTCTCAACCGACCCTCATTGTTGATTTGTAGATGTAAGTCGAGATATGAATCATATTTAACTGTATCTATACTGTATCCCTGAATGTGAAGTTAAAGGATAATGCTAGCTTCTTTTCCTTCCTTCTTCCTAAGAAGCTACTGTATGAAAACAGCCTCATATAAAAGTCAGCAAGAAGAGGAGCACATTTGGTTCCCATTGGAATGCTGATTGTTTGTTTAAAAAAAGAATCATTCAAACGTAAGAAATATGTTGTCAATAAAAAAATCAAGCATCTGATAATGTCAGTATTAGAAAATTTTTTGTCTGAATCGGAGTGATGTTTTACATAGTATGATTTGTTCCTTCCTACGGTGGCCATTTGTTTTTATGAAACAAAGCAGGACCAGTTCTGTCAATTTTTTCTAAGTTTAGAATGTGAAATACTTGTGTAAAGGTGGAAAACCAAACGTTTTCAAGCTATTGCAAGAGGAAAGGCTCAACTGACCTTGGGAATATTTAAGTGTCCACATCCGATCACGCCACCCCTAGAGTATGTAGTTTAACAATAACTTAAAAGCCCGACTTTGTTTGCTAATAAAATGAATGTAAATAATTTCGAAAGAGGTTTTGGAGAAGCACTTTGATAACCCAGCAATATAAATTTGTTTTTAAGGACACGTGTGTAATTCCGGTAACTAATACAGTGAAGGAAGATCCAACACTTCATTTTAAATTCCAAAGGAGCATATAACAGATATGATTATTCAGGATTTGTCCCATTGGTAACTGTCGTGTGAGTTTATGACGAGTTTCCAAGTTTATCAAGTAGTTTATGTAATGCGATGCACACACGATGCTAGAATAATGTTATTATTGATAACAATTACTGAAATATTAAAAATATTTTTCTATACTGTTTAAGCATTATTTTATACAAATATTAAAAAGGATTAGAACACAGGGAGAATTAATAGAATAAGCATACTTCTAAGAGTATATTTATTTTTGCAATTTAATTTGTTCACAGATATGAACATGATGAACTGCTCCTAACTTTCAAAACTACTAATTTGCTCTAAGTAGTTATCAGTAAAGTGCTCCAATTTCCGTCATTCAAAACTGATCTAGGCTAAAACAGTTCTAGACCAGTTCAGAAGAAATCTATGACAGATGATTTTGGGTGAGAGGTTATAACTGATCTCAATATACATGAAGAAGGTGTCTTGCTAAACAAAATCGGTGTTAAACGTTTGTTTTAGTATGTTCTAATTCTTATTTCAGTAAATAATATAAAGCATTACCTGGAAAATCCATTGCATTTATTCTTTAAGTACAACTTGGTCAACTATACACTAACAATTGCATGATATGTCTCATTATCTTATCAATACTAAGCTTGTCAAAAACTGAAAAATACAAAATGAAAGAGAAAAAAAACCATTATGTATTATCAAACAGAAAATAATTGTAACAAGATCCATCATATTTTGTTTGATGTTAAGGAACATAGTTTAAAGCGAAATCAAACGAAAGTCATATGCTAAATGGTTTTAAATTCCTGTTCGGTAAACAATACACAAAAGAGAATCAATCACTAGCTCCGAATCCTCTAAAAAATAGCATACTTACAAAAAGAATAAGAATCAACAAGCGCTTATACAAAGATATACATTTTTTTCAATACTTCCAATTGTTCTGTTATTAGTTGTAATACGTAATAATTCTATATCGTTAGTATTTCTGTAATTATAAAATACAATCATAATAAATAAGGCAGGCGTGACATTTCAGCATATACGTTCTTCTCTATATCTCTTTAAACTCAAATATTTTAGAGTGACATGAATTGAAAATATCAGTTGGGTATAATTGGTTTACATGTTTTCGGAAAAACATTGGTGTCATACATATGTTTATATTCAAATATTTCAAACCTTTCATAAATTTAAATGTTAGGGTTCAAAGAGGTCATTGAAAATCCCAAACTCGGTGTCTATTTTTAACAAAAGGAAATCATATATATTTTTAACTGAAATGTAATACATTTGTTTGTTTTGAATGATCACAATATATTAATAGTATGTTACAGTAGTCTGCAGTAGTTAACTGATGATCAAATCTCGTAAATCGATTAAGAAAGACAAACTAGAGTAAATCATAAATCAAAATTGGAAGTCAATTAAAACATAGTCTATATATGTTTTCCTTTTGCATGTTTAGATGTTTTGGTTATTGATGTCGTTAGGTTATCTTTTGATTTATATACTATATATAATCAAATTAATATGAGCGGGAAAACAGCTTCTTTCCTAAATAATAATATTTTGTTTCAAAATATGACATAATGTTGCCAGAACCCAATATACACATGTGGAGCTGTAAATGTGACTAACGTTGTAAGAATTGTAACCTAGATACTGAAATGGATACTCATACCCCTCTTATCGATAATACGAAATAAGAAGACAAGAATGTGTAGGTAGAAATTTTTTGATCACACTACGACCATTAACAAAGAGTTTAGCCAGTACATCGGAAACTATAAAGGACAAATGATAAATGTAAACAAAGCGACAGAGAAAACCTACAGCATGATTAAGCTTATAGAATTAACAGTTTATAATTAAGGTAGACGTTAACCAACAGCAATAACTAGGCTATGGGCTCCTGATTTTGGACATGCACGTGAAAAATATGGCAGGGTTAAACATGTTTGTAAACTCCCATCCTAAACTTGGATAGCAGTGTAACTGAAAGCAATCAAAAACACATGAAAAAGTCAGTCGTAAATGGACTAGTTAATCAAATCTTTACTAAAAATGGCGAAATCACAAGGAGACAAAAATACAAAAATTAACGATTTAAGAGTTTAAGAACGCTTTTTCAACTAATCAATTCAATATGCCAGGTTTCCTTGATTAAAACACCAATAAGTAAAAAGTCTAGTGTTAAACATCAGAAAAATGCACGATCTTGTAAATTATGTGTACTGGCAAGATGTAGGACTATAAGTGTTGATGATTCTTATAATGTAATTCATACTTAGTAACATAATAAAATATTGCATATAAAATTACTGTTAATACTAATAAAACATTAATATAATATGTCCCCATAGTATTTTCTATCTCTTTTTAGGGATCTTTCCACACTGTTGAATAGATAACCTTTAAGATTACGTTAACACGAATCACATTTATTTACTAGGTTTATAACAAATATTACTAGACACATTTTGATGTCATATTACGTTTGTAAATAAGATACATAAAAAATTCTGTTTGAAATAAGGTACAGCACAAATTCCAAATCAAATCGTTTTATCTATGAAAACAATTTTCTGAGGATTTTACAATCCCTGACCAAACAATTTACACACATGAAAAACGTCGCCACAGTCACTAGCGTTGAGAACAAATTTAGAAATATTAACACCGTAAGAAGTGGATAAAGGCATATCATTGAAAATTGACTTATATAAATGATATTTAAATGTGGCATCAATAATATATTTTGTATACGTTATTTTGAAAGATCACTTGTTTAGTGATTATCATTTTTATATTTATGTAAGTTGAAATTTCTTTTTTTCCAAAGAGAACCATAACTTGCTTATATTTAGAAAAAAAATCCCTTCTTGATAATGCTTGAATCTTTCGCCGAGAGTGTGTGTGGCATAAAATCGTTAACGTTTCTATTTCTTTCGTCAGATTGTTGGCCTATTGACGTTCTTATCTAAATCTGTTGCACAATGTTCATTTTAATACTCGATTATGTTATCATTTAATCGTAAGTCAGCTATAATCTATTACCTTTTCTGTAGAATGACAATTTAGATTATGAATCTTTTAAATAAGGTTTGTCTTCAAGAATTCTTATTGAGAAGTTTCGTAATTTCAATATGATGTTAGATGTAGGTACTATACACATTAATAGTGCTATGAATTGTAGACATCTATGAAAAATTCACAGTTCTGTAAGACGTAGGTGTATTTAAACTTTTATGATAGATGTGGGCATCATCGAATATTTGTGATGCTAGTATGTATTTGGCTCAAACATTTGCAAAATCGGAAGACGTAGAATTTCTAAGCAATTCATAGAACTCCATAATACAGCTCCATCTAAATTCTTGGTGTTTTCATATTAGTAATTTCCTTTTGTAAACTGTAACATTTACAAATCTGTTATCCTGTATGAGAAAACTGTTGTCAAACTTGTGAAATCTGAAGACGCTTGTATCTTTCCACCTAGAACCAAGTCTTTGATTTACAGTTTCTCTATCGATTTTTTTCTATCGACTAGTTTGACATGGACTAATTCCAGACTGTTGATTTTTTGGAGGTATCCCGATTGTCACCTCTTACACGAAAATTATCTGTTAACTGTAAATTTTTATACTTGAAATGTTATAGAGATTTGCAGTTTCGTAGCGAATACTAGAAACTGAGAAACTAAGGCAGACATCATCTGTAATCCAAACTCTGTTCTTTACTGGTCAATTAATAACATAAAAAAGAACACACTTACACACTGAGGTCCTTTTTAGTTTTCATGTTAAAAAATTGTACCTGGAAATATGTTTTTATTTAAAGCGAAGTGTGTAAAGATACTAATATCAGTGACAATACACCTACGTCAAGAAATTGCAGAAACTCCAAATAAATTTATGGCCCTAGCTCTATGATATAACAGGAGACCTTAACATCATCCAGAACCGAGAATTGAAATAATTTCTTAGAAAAAATTATCAAGTAGAATGAATATCGTAACATCATCAACGAATCACTTCATACTTACTGTTTAAAAGAATAAAACAGGAAAAGCTGATAAAAATCATTAAATTTTTTTTCCCAATTAAGTAATTGTTGATATTCGTATTAAACATTTTAAAGAACATCTTACTCCTAACAACGACCATAGTAGCCTTATTTCTCATATCAATTCTTGTCCCGGTTGATAAGGCTGCCATGATCTTATTATTGTTTGACATAATTTTTTTATTCAGGTTCTGCAAAAGGGAATCACAAATTCATCAACATTCCAACTGACACAATTTTCGGAAATTGACATCTTTAACAAACATAAACTTTTTGCTATCTCTTTACAAGCTGAACCAAATAAAATGAAAGTTTCAACTATGTACTGGCTTTCAAAGCTACACAAAACACCTTCAAATATAGATTTATTTCGTCATCAAGCCATTATTCCACTACATAACTGTCTATTCTACTAACTAGTTCTCTTTGTACAATCGAAAACTTGTTAATAAATTTTTCAAATAAGGTCTACGAAAATAGTGGAATTATTAACTTTTGGAGTGTAAACAAATCGTTGGAAGTACTTGATGTTTTGCATGCTCATATAGGCGCTTTCGAATTTGTTCAAAGTTTTGAATGTTCTACTTTATATACCACTTTGCCTCATAATCTCACTAAAAAAATCACATACCTAATTAAATTGGCATTTAAAGTCTGAATGTGAATATATATGTTCAAACTCTTTATATGGTCACTTTCGTGACTACAAACAAAAGAACAATGGTTTGATATGATAACTGCACTTTCATTTTACTAGATAAAACTTTGTTTACTATGTAGAACCTGTACATCGCCAAGTTATCGGAATTCCAATGGGGACTAAATGTTCATCACACATAACGGATCTATTTCTGTATTGTTCCGAATCACAATTTATTTCAAACATCAGCATAGACCCATGTTAATAACATCTGATACAAAAAAATTAATAACACGTTTAGATATAATATTTTGGCGCTCAATAATGACGACTTCCGTTTGTTGACTAAAGAGAGTTATGCTGTTGAACGTACTTTAAATAAAGCTAATATTAACAGTGAACTCTGCCTTTTGCTATGTATTGATATCTTATTTTCCATCGAGAAGCTTAACACTAAAATTTACGATAAAACAGATAATTTTGCATTTCCTATTAAGAATTGTCCGTGTTTAGATCGTAATGTTCCCTTAGCGCGTCTGGCGCAAATACAAAATGTCAATCCTGGTATCTATGATGAGTTTATTTACAACCACTGGGTCGATGCCACTGCTGGTGGAGTTTTTATTCCCTCAGGGTATCACCAGCCCAGTAGTCAGCACTTCTGTGTTGACATGAATCGTCATTGATATGGTCATAATTATAGATTAACTGTTTACAAAACTTTACATTTTTGAAATACTAAGGTTTATTTACCTCAGGAATAGATTACCTTAGCTGTATTTGGCAAAACTTTTAGGAATTTTTGGTCCTCAATGATCTTCAACTTCGTACTCTATTTGGCCTTTTTAACATTTTTTGATTCGAGCGTCAATGATGTGTCTTTTGTCTTTCCCTTAGCGCGTCTGGCGTAAATACAAAATTTCAATCCTGGTATCTATGATGAGTTTATTAGCACCGTCGCATGTTGTTTACATACATCAACAAGTTTGATTTGCGCCTGTATTTCACAACGTATCTGATTTTAACCAAAGCAATCTTTGTATTATTCAAAAATAATTACACCAGGGTTTGTGGATATCACAAAATTGTCAAAACTTTTACTGAATTTTTTTCATCGGACATCGTTTGTAAATATAAATCACGGTGCACACAACGCATATACGTATACGTTCAGATATTTCAAATACCATTTTTTATGGTAATATTCTATACACAGCACAGAAATGTCGTCATTCAACTATCCTAAGATATAACGACTTAAGGACAACAAGGAGGACCAACTCGAGGAATACTTAAAACGAATTGCAAGTTTTAGACAGATTTTGGCCTAAATGAACATACCATTTTATCTGATGTGTATTATAATGCCTCGTAATAATGAATAAGATCTCAAACGCATTAAATGTTTTGTTTTTCAGATCAGGAAGTGTTCTATGGACAATTTTATAACAATACAAAACTCTACACAGTTGTCAAAGCATTGAATAATATTTGTAATTCAAAACTATAAAAAGGTTGGTTTCAGAAATTTAAATAGCTTAATATGTTGCATTCCGACGGTGTACATTAATTATTCAATATTTGTAACATATATTTCAATTGTTCTTTTTACATATTTGGCAGTATTTATCTAACAAAAACCAAACAAGACTTTTGAATGACCTACTTGACATAAATTTTGCGATAATGTTTAAGCATGCACCACAATCGCATAAGACATTATTTGCAGAAGTAAAATGAAAAATGGTAATATTGAATTTTCCTTTTTCTAATAATACAAATAAGTACTGAAATCCCATAATAAACATTTGTAAATGTAATCTTCTTGTCATGGATAATTAAAATATGATTGATTAAACCCTATATGTTTTCGTATTAATTCTGTTAATCAAATATGACTTTTTCTCATAAAAAAATGAAAATAAGATTTCCATTTTCATATTGTACGAATTCAGCTCAAATGACTTACTAATCCAAAGGAATAAATGTTTGAAAGATAGAAAAAGTTACAAAGAATGTTATGAAATAACTTAATTTTAATTATTAGTTTATCAATTGTCTCAGTAAAATCCCATATATAAATATCTTTATATCCGAAATACTTTTTTTGAAATAAAACATCAGTTGCGATCAATGGAAAATGTTGTCAAAATGTATGCTCTTACCTGTATTATACTTAATATACTATATAACTGTGCAGTCTAGTTCGTTTTTTTGTCTTATTTCCTAAAATAAACAAAAAAGGTGCAACTATGACTATTTTACCTAACATATGCTTCCATAATACACGACAAAAAAGGACAACCATTAACTAAAAAAAAAAACAAAAAAAAAACAAACTATAAAATGTAAAAAAATGTGGCATGATGTCTAATACGATAACTATGAAGCCTAATCGAAATTAACGGGAAAAGTTACACATCACAATAAGGCATTCAACGATTCGAAAAAACACATACAGTACTTCAAGGGGTAGCAGGCTTCAGTTTGACAAAATTTGATATGTTTTGACCCCCCCTCCCTTGAAAAAAGTAAATAAATTAAAAGTTATATTTCAAGGAAACCGTCTTTCATTTGCACTTTTATCTATTGAATCCGATCTTCCTCCTCCCATCAACTCCCTTTTGAATAAGTTTCATTCCAATTAAGTAAAAGAAACTTAAGTTACCATTTGGAAACTATTTTCCAAGAGTTTCTAATTGGAGAAACAGTGACCTTGAACTTTGACATTGTACTTCCAAAATCAATAGGCGTGTTCTATTTTCTATATCTTCCATTTGTATAATAAATCCCATTCCAATCAGGTAAGGGAAACTCAAATTTCAATATGTAAAGTATCCATTATCTATTGTTAGTAAAAATGGCATTTAACTTTCAGTTATTGCCTCACAAATCATTAGGCCTATTCTTTAATATTTTTTAATATAGGCCTATATATTTTATCTGCTTAAGCTACAAGATAAAATCAAGCTAATATCTCGAACAATGTTTCCATAAAACATTATTTCTTGTAATAGTGAACTCTGCAATACCTACCCCAATATATATTGTTGTTGTGACCAAATTAATAAAAGCTACTGATCAGTCTAAACATAGACTAAACAGATCTTAATTGACTGCAAGTGAAGCGTCAAAAATATGGGTGCAAATGGGGAACATTAGCTGTGTAAAGGGCGGGCGATTATGAGCCTTTTCTCCAACTATTTGTAAACTCCTCTGAAGCGTCATGAAACGGCATGTTTTACGTGCTTCTTTTCAAACTAAAATTTGGACCGCATCACACCTTGCTAAACGCCCTTTTCCGTCACCTTTAGAATACGGATGGCGAGAGGTTAATAATACATTACACCCTGTGTATTTTGAAGGACATATGTCAGCAGAATTATGTGAGGGGTCAGAATTATGCAGAAATTCCCAATCATATTCCTTGACATATAAAACAGAAGAAACTCCTGGCTGAATTCTGTTGTTTAGACTTCTTTGAGGATATTGGGTTAAAATTATAAGTGTTTGCGAGGTATTTAGTGGTTTGGTTTCTTATGAATTAAATGCATGAGCTTTGTGCACGAGACGCAAGTCTGGCGTATTGAATTTTAAGCCTAGTACCTTTTGTTAGCTATTATTCGTGTGTTTCTTAGTCCTTTATGTTCTCCCATTTATTTGTATTGTGGTCCTGTCATGTGATGTTGTCGTTTTGGTGTTGTGTTTGACGTTGCCATAAAAGCGGGAGGTTTGGCATGCCACAAAACCAGGTTCAACCCACCATTTTTTTTCTTAAAATGTCCTGTACCAAGTCAGGAAAATGGCCATTGTTATGTTATAGTTCGTTTCTGTGTGTGTTACATTTTAATGTTGTGATGTTGTTGTGTCGTTGTTCTCCTCTTATATTTGATGCGTTTCTCTCAGTTTTAGTTTGTAACCCGGATTTGTTTTTATCTCTATCGATTTATGAGTTTCGAACAACGGTATACTACTGTTGCCTTTATTTGCCAAATACGCTTTCAGGGTAGTAGGCTTCAAGAAAACCCAATTTTTATCATTTATTGCAGAGGTTGAATGTCACCAGGTAAGGTAACTACTGTAACTTTAACGGAACATGTGTTGGTCTTGCATAATCGAACAAGTGTTTGAAAAAGGTCACTATTCATAAGAATCGACGTTTTGATAGTGTTTTTATTGTAAATTGAATTTATAAGATTTCTGCATCTGAAATTTAACATAAATTGCTACATAAATCTTTAAATTTTTAAAATATAGAGGAAATGAAATGAACATTTATAGCTGACTGTACGGTATGGACTTTGCTTATTGTTGAAGGCCGTACGGTGACCTATAGTTGTTAATTTCTTTGTCATTTGGTCTCTTGTGGAGAGTTGTCTCATTTGCAATCATACCACATCTTCTTTTTTATAGTATTTTTATCTTATGCAAAACTGTTACCAGCTGGATTACTTTTTGAAGCCATTGATATTTTGAAAGTAATTAATTTGACATATCCAATGGTATATAATATAGCCATATAGTATGTTTGACGATTAAATCTAAAAAATATTGAGTCTGGTCACCGTTGTAATTGCACACATATCTTTACTGTAAACTTCTGTTTTATTTATCATAACAATGGAGTAAAACTTAAAATGAAGAGTCCTCTGTTGGATTGAGCACTCACACACCGTACTAATTGCACACATGTATTTACTGTAAACTTCTGTTTTATTTATCATAACAATGGAGTAAAACTTAAAATGAAGAGTCCTCTGTTGGATTGAGAACTCACACACCGTACTAATTGCACACATGTCTTTACTGTAAATTTCTGTTTTATTTATCATAACAATGGAGTAAAACTTAAAATGAAGAGTCCTCTGTTGGGTTGAGAACTCACGAGCATGTAAACATTTTGACAGCTGTTTACCAAGAAATTGAATATTAAAAAAGTAAAATCTCATTAATCGAATTAAGACGAAACAGTTTAAAAAAAACCACAAAAAACCATCAAAAGTGGTGACCTACAGTCGAATCTCGATAAGTTGGAATCCGAGGGACCTGAAATAACTATTCGACTCATTCGAGGTGCGAGTTATCAGAGATTACGAGTTCATAATTTTATACCATTTTAATATTGTACCTTGTTTTATCAGCCCGATGTAAAAGGCAGAAAACGTATTGAATATCCCAATGAATATACATTGACAGTACATGCAGTATTAAAAATAATTCATTTGATAAAAAACCCAGACAGACAGTTCACATCTGATATTTACAAAAGATAAGGAAATTTAAAATATGGAAGTACTTGCGAAACGAAAAAAAAATTTATAGATGTATAATTTTTCTAATTTCTCATAAGACGCTTTCTGCTGAGGTCAAGTCTTCCTGTATTAACAAAGCTTTATCAGTTTAGTTAAAGTTTTCATCATTCATTGATCTTTTTTGAACTTTTCGGCTTGGAACTTTAATTCGTTCCCTAATTATCTCAGGTAAAAATTGTTCCACAAACATAATTTTCCTTATGATCAAACATCAAGTACAAACAAAATGATGAGCATAGAACAAATGACAAAACTTATTTTGGTGCATTATAAAAACATATCCCGCAATGGTGGTAAGTCGTGCACTTAAGGCCATTTTTTATTTTATTTTTCTGTAGACTTAGCTTTGTTTTTTTATTACTGTGTATTGTCAAGCTTGGTTACTTATAATTGTTTCTCAGTCACTGAATGTATGATGTTGTTCCATACTGCAGCAGCTGACGCGGTTTGTTTACATTAAAATTCTAATGGCTTCAAAACCACGTGACACATTGAATCGTTATACCCAATCAAATTGCTCTACTGTCAATTAGGTGATTTTTTAGTACAAGGCAATTACATTATTTGTTTGTATGATATTGCTTTGAAATAGTTTGCAATAAATTGGGGGTTTATTCAATCGGACACCTCATTTTTAGCCATGAAATTTGATATCAATGGAATTTTATATGAATATTTACTTATGGTCAGAATATCGATATCTTTATATTGAACAAATATTTTTTTTATGAAAAATATATGTATATTGTTTTTTATTAACCTACTCTATATTCCCGAACAAAAATATGGCATGATTATCGTTTGTTTCCCAAAGTTTTCTTTCAATTTAGATGGGTTTTTTTCGCGGGAAAATCGCGTATGACGTAAGGTGCTTGCCATTTTGAAATTCTTAAAAATACGATTTGCTTGGCCTGTTTGGTTTGCCATTAAGATTGATGACGCTTAATGGAATGTAAACAAACCAATGGAGGCCGGAAAAGGGGATTTCTGAAGTTCTCGAATGTTTTTAGGCATTCGGAAGTCAGGTTTGAAACGGCCATTAGAAAATTGGCATTTTTGTACAATACTTTAGAATAACATTGAAAACATATCTTTCGAAATGTTTGTTTATTTAGAAGAGTAGAAAAAATGTATTCTGCACTAATTTTGTACGCTGGTATTAGCGAAGTGACATCAATGCGGAGTTTTCCCGTGTGATAAGTACAATAACAAAGTCCGAACGAACCGCCATGATGACCGATTATAGACTACGGTAGGATACAATTTCAATGTTTGGTTCATTATTTCGAACTGAAATTGTTTTCTTTTTCCTTCAAATATTTTCTTTATTTCGCACTTCGACACATCGAGGTTAATCTATGTTCATTTTTCTGCGAGGCGACTTCGAAACATGTTCGAGTAAACCGAGATTTCGAATCAACCGAATTCTTCTCATCAAAGATAGAAATGCCTTGAACAAATGGAAATTCTACCGTGACTAACAAAACAGCTCGACTCATCCAAGTTTTCCACACAACAGAGTTCAACTGTATTTCTGTCCGTTATTCCGAACATGAATTCCATGCGTTTCAAAAAGGAAAAGTAAAAACATATTCAATCATCTAAGCTTTAATTTTTACAAATTCCTTCTTTGGATGTGATTTCACGTACATCAACGGGAAAAACTTGGAATTCTTTTTCGAAAACAAAAATCATTAAAAAAAGTAACATTTTAGCCTAGATCGATTGGATTGGGGTTCCGTGTATTCTAGTAACATTATTCAACCATCTACACCTACTCTTGGAAATAATCGGGATATTTGCCAACCCATTTGGCTCCACAACAAACAATATTTTTATATATAGTATAGTAAATACAGCAATAATTAAAATCTTCAAAATTCAATAACACAATTTTCTCGAATGACAATACGCATTTATTATATTCATACAATACATAAGTTTGAAACTTTTCGCAAAAGCCTCGACGTTTTCTTTATACTAACTACAAAAGGAAATGTTATCTTAATTTACCACTTACAATATGTTAAATTAAATACCATTGCATATTTATCAATGAGCACAACATTGATTACATATACATGTATTAGATATTTGAAGCCGTAATTACAGTCGATTATGAATAAACGTATTTTTGTTATATCAGTCGTTGAAGTGATATTTATGAACGTAATGAACGTATACGTAAACCCAACATATCCTTGAATTCACAAGGACCGTGATTTCAGGATATTTTACCTTACTCATTGGGTAATTTCAAAAAGTGGATGAAGTTTGGTGGAAGCTATTTACGAGACTTAATAATATATCTAAAAGATTTAAAACATATGTACAAAAAAAACCAACACTTTCTTTTAAATCAGTACTTTACATCCAAATCTGAAACGCAATACATAAGGTTCACTTTTGGTTTTGATTTTTGATTTATTATATTCGTTTTTCAGAATTATACATATAATTACACATGGCTGTACTATTTTAATTGACTTTATGAACTTTCCTTAGCTTGAACAATTTTATCAAAATTTTCAAACATATGCGAAGCTATGCAACTGTAAATGTAAGTCAAGTATTTCAAAACTTATAACCTAGCTAATGAGAAATATAACAAAATTATCTTTTATACTTAACCCTTTCGCCGATGAGTCCCGGTTTACCGGGATTCACGCTTCAGACAGCTGACGATGAGTCCCGTTTTACCGGGATCGGAATACCTCTTTTATATTTCCCGCTCAAAACAGTGCAAACACGAGTTATCTTTCTTTGTTGAATACCCGGATGAAAGTGTAAACATGGCGCTTCCGTGTGTTGAAAACCGTGTCAAAATCAGAGGAAATTTACGGAATTTACGAGAATTTGAAATGAGGGAACATTTTTTTTGAAAGAATATGGAAGAATTGAAGCCAAACTAGTATACTTTTTTGACATAAAATGTCGTTTTATGTACAAAACACTTGGAATGGACATCGTTCAGTGTAAGGAATTTGTACAGCCTCATTAAATTTTTCAAAATTTTGCCGTTTTTGGTTAAAAATTACGATTTTGGGTCAAAGAGCAGAATTTTGAGAATTCACCTAGATAATGCCGAAAATTTGAAAATTTGAATTTTTTATGAAGAAAAATTATCAAAACATGAACAAAACTGTGAACATGGTGTTAGTGAATGAAATAAAGACACAAATAACTACAGACAAGTTTTTATTGACATTTATTATGAAGATCTCCCACTTGAGTAATAGTAGCCAGGGAAGCCATCGTCTCAGAGTAGCTTCTGTCTGGGCAGCTATCGGTGAAAGGGATAATGATAGGCCAGAATAAGTGAGTCGATTTCTTTGACGCCCAGAATAAAGCAATTAATATAGCTACATGGCTGATAGAATCATCCTAGGAGTTTTATGACCCTCAAACTTTATGAAATATTTTCATTAACTACCATGAAAAACAACTAAAAAATGAAATTACAAAAGTCCTCTCCGTCATCTAAATACATTTATGTTAATATTGTATTAGTCAATACATAATTGAAAGGTAAAAGCTAGGACTGAAAATTAAGGAGATTAGAATAACGAACAAGACGAAGATCCAGACCTTCTGAAAATGGATAACAGTTGAACCCTATTAGTAAAAACACAAACAAAACGAATGAAAGAAACAAGAGAGGTGTAGAAACACAAATACAAAAAGATCTCCTTGAACAGAAATCAGTTACTAGAAATAAATAATATACAATAAAGGTAGATGTGATATCAGTGTCAATGAAACAACTATCCATCAAAAGACAAAAGGAAAAGGGTGTAAGCTGAGATCACCCCCAGTTTTTGGTGGGGTTCGTGTTGCTTAGTCTTTAGTTTTCTATGTTGTGTCATCTGTACTATTATTTGTCCGTTTGTCTTTTTATTTTTGGCCATGGCGTTGTCAGTTTGTTTTTAAAATTTTTAATTTGGTTCAATGTTATTTGTCCTTCGGTTTATGAAGTTATTTCATGTCAATCATATCGCAATATCTTAAATCTATATAAGCATTTATTGGGACCAACACGTCACTAAAGACACAGGAATGGCAAACAGGGTCGGGAATATACACACCATAAGAAGAGAACACGAAATAACACAGGAAACGCAATAATAAAATGAACAACGGGAACGAATAATCGTCTCACTTGTGTTAATTTTAGATTAGAGCTACTCCAAATGTGAAATTGAAATATCGATACCAAGAAAGGAACAAAAGTCCTAAGCAAGAACATTTTCTACATCGTACCTAAAAAAGTATTAAACAAAAATACCGAACTTCAAGGTAAGTTAAAAAAGAGAGGAAGACTTTAAAACCGGACAAAATCAAACGTTATACTATATCAACAAACGAAACGACTGGGAAACAACTTAATGAAACAAAATACACGTAAAGTAAACACTTATTCAAAAATAATTTCAAAGTAAGTTAAAGTGTTTGTAGTTTGTGATAATATTCCACAAAATACAACACAAAACAACACAACAGTTTCTAAAGTAACTAAAATTTCAAAGTGCACAACACCACCAACCCCAAAAATCATTCAGGGAATTTGATAGCTGGAATTTCAGTCTTTGTTAAAATACATTTTTAAATTAGGGGCGATGTGAGTTTAAACTAGTTTATTAGAGACCTGAACCCTTATCAAATATCCATCAATGAAAAGTAGAATTTGAAATTAATTCAGTCTACAATAACGATATATCAGATAAAAACACACCAGGAAACAACAAGTACAATATCTTTACCGAATGCAAGTTCAATATCCCTAACTTCATGATATTTGATTATTCTTACACTCTAATATCAGTGGCGTTACCTCGGAGAAGATTTCACACAGCGTAATTCCCAGAATTTTGTTTTTGTTTTGGATCCTTGTTCTGTGAACTATGGTGGACAGGTTTTCTATTTACATCAGATATTGCTTTACATTTTATTGTGCAAAGCGTCAATGCAGTAACAAAGGAATATCTAAGTATTGCTTCAAACTATAAATAAGCGAATTGATGTTCATCCCACAAATTTCAAGATGAAATGATAGGACAGTATTACAATAATGTTTATAGATACGTCTTTAAACCAAAAAGAGAAGATTAACAAGATAATTCATAAACTTGTTGACTTAATAAATGTATCATTTAAAGACTAATCGCACTTTTGTATCTATAAAAAATCGGGATTGTCCACAGGAATTTGTTTGCTTTATTTGTCATTCAATGTTGTGATCAATTCTAAGAAAGACATAAATCACATCCAGCAAATTATGTAATATCTTATGTCACCACCAGGAAGCGATCTTAAAAGTTAATTTCTTCAATAAAAAAATCAATCTAAATTAGTATATATCATACGTGCTTAAATTCAATGCTATTGACCAAATCAGTCCGTTACTAAAAATTGAATGTCGATTCTATTCGTTGGTTGCAACTCCATCATGTTACTTATCTGTTAACGAATTTACGTTTAATATAGGTGATAATGTTATAATTGCTAAATTCCTGTTTGGAAACGTTATAACTCATGTCCACAAATGTTACTGAAAAATTACAATTATCTGAACATGATAATCATTTAAACAAATGTAAGCTAAAAAATACATGATGCAAAATATTCTTTTCTGTAGACGCATAATTGCAAACGTGAACTCTTCAAAATAGTATGTTCTTAGGATAGACAAATTATATTTGCAGGATTAAAAAGACGAAAACTCTTTGTCTGATCTTAACAAAGTCAATCTTAAATAATAATTAAACTGATATATATATATATATTCTACGGGTAGAAAAATATAATCCTACCTTAATGAAATCCGCTCTTAAAATCCCGTAGTATTCTTATTCCAGGAAGTAATTAAATGCCGTAATCACCTTGTGCAATTGGTCTTAAAATGTGTTTAGTAAAGTTTTAAATAGCATTTACTGTTTTAAATAATCTATTCATTAAAATTTTTAACACATCATTTGTTCTTACCAAGTAAAATTATTTAAGTACATCAAAATAGATAATGAAAAAGACATCCGATATTATTTTAGAAACAGAAATGATAGAAATATGCATTTTTTTTATATAAACGTATAATTTAAAACTATTACGTGCACCTTAGCACACCTATTATCATATATTATTTTTTGTAATTTCTTTTCCGATGGTAAAATTTCTTACACAGAACGTTCCACTAATGACTACTGGAAACAAATATAACTTTCTTTTAGACTTTTTTAAAGGATGAATATGCGTTTAACGTCCAATGGCAAATATTACTTTCATATCCAAACAGAACATGTTGATGTAATGTGAATATGAATACGATCCCTGTTGATTACACGACGGACTGAATCTAATTATTAACATGCTAATTCACAAGGTTAAAAGAACTCCACACTTGTTTTAACTCTTTAAGCAGATACTTTAAAAACATAATCATATACACTTGTAAACAAGACGCAGAAAACAAAAGACATCTATAGTTAAACATAAGGTCATTCATAATGTACGAGCTTCTATATAAAATACTAGCTCTAAATGAGCCCGAGTATAGACTTTATATTCTACATTATGAAGGTGATTAAGTATCAGTTTCTTTTTTTGATTCATTGATTATTTGTGTTTAACTCCACTTTCAGCACTATTAAGTATATCATGACGGTCAGTTTTTATCAGTGTAGCAAGAGAAAGTAACCGGAGAGAACCACCGACCGACGTCAGGACAAACAGATAATCCCAGTCAATTAATGTTGGAGTCAAAATATTCAGAGTGCTATACATCTAAACACCAATGGTGATATAAGACATACGAAGGGCTAAAAGTTTGTTTGATTTTACCGAAGGTCGATTGTTTCTCTCCAGGTTCTCTGGCTTCCTCAAACAAAAAAAAGCTGGTTGCCACGATATTGCCAAGAGAACTGAAAGTGGCGTTGAGCACACACAATCATTCAATCAATATTTAACTTCACGATGTAGGTGCATTTAAATTTTCTTCGATTATATGTTAGCGTCTGTACAGTCTGCTAAATGTAGGAACTTTGAATATTTATACTTATAAGAATTGTAGCAAAAATTGCATGTACTGGAAGATTCCTAAGTTCTTCGGAGCACTGTATCGAGATCTTCGAGGTTCGGCGAAATCCGTGCATACTCCCTATTGGGATTAATGGAAATGTGTCACTAACGTAGTAACAACACTAGTTACAAGGACAATCCTCACCCAACACAAAGGGAGTGCTAGGACACCAGGAAGTCTGTTACTATCAACTTTCAAAACAATCGCTGCATAAGCAGGTGCTTATGTATGTAAAACATTCCTTGAATATGCAGATGCAGACATCACTGAATACTGTACACCAACTTATTTTCGCGAGCGATTTATTTTCGCGTCTTTCGTCGCGAGTAGAAAAATAACACGAATATAAATCGTCGCGAATATGTTAAACTTGGATCTTTCCTTATTAAACTACATCAAGTAAAATTAGAAAATCGCGAAATTAACTAACCGCGAAGTGGACTAGAAAGGGTTAAACGCGAAATAAAGTATCCGCGAAAATAAGTTGGTTTACAGTATCCATGTAAGCTCATTAAAATATTTATGGCTTGACATGATGAGTTGATGAGTTGGTTGACCGTTATGGAATAACCGTTTCACAGATGATATCGGATATGTTCCTTATGTCGTAACTACAATACCCTTCCCTTTTCACGAATGTGATCTACCGAATTAGACTATTTACCGGATTTGTAATAACATAAGCAACACGACGGGTGCCACAAGTGGAGCAGGATCTGCTTACCCTTCCGGAGCACCTGAGATCACCCCCAGTTTTTGGTAGGGTTCGTGTTGCTTAGTCTTTAGTTTTCTATGTTGTGTCATCTGTACTATTATTAGTCTGTTTGTCTTTTTATTTTTGGCCATGGCGTTGTCAGTTTGTTTTCGATCTGTGAGTTTGACTGTCCCTCTGGTATCTTTCGTCCCTCTCTTATAAAAACACATTCAAACGCTAGCTATAATACCAGGTTCAATCCACCATTTTCTACATAGCAAAATGCCTGTACCAAGTCAGGAATATGACAGTTGTTGTCCATTCGTTTGATGTGTTTGTGCTTTTGATTTTGCCATTTGATTAGGGACTTTCCGTTTTGAATTTTCCTCGGAGTTCAGTATTTTTGTGATTTAACTTTTTACAAAGAAATGGCTGAAAAAAAAAAAAAAAAAAAAAATTAGAACCCGAAAAAAAAACACACTATAATTCATGTATTTTGCTTACGTTTCAATAAAAAAAAAAAAACCATTAAAACTTAAGGATGCGTGCAAAAACGAGCGAAATGATTTGTTATCATATTACAGAGTCTATAAGAATTAACTAAATTTATTGAAATTATTACCATATATTACCGTTGTTTATATATACATTATATAACAGTGAATTGTCAGGGCTTTTTGATCAACGTAAATAGTTAAGAAAAGCAATTATTGTTAAAAGACCTAGAAATAAAAGGACAAACCCAAAGAAAATTGTTCAGCAGTTCAGAACAAAACAAAACCTTGACACATTTTTAAAGTCTAAATGAACTTGACGTATTGTTGTAATGTGTAGTATTATGCCTCGTAATGCAGTAAAGTTTTCTAAATGAATCGAATGGCGTATTCATGTTAGACCAGGAAGTGCAGTTAGACAATTAAATAAAAACTTTAAACCAATCATAATTATCAAAACATAGAATATCTGTTGTATTCAAAACAATAAAAAAAGGTTCGGGTTCAGTAAATTCAATGAATAAATTGTTACAGTCGAATGGTGTCTAAATAATTTGTTACATGTACTTTAATTGATCGTTTAACATACTTGACAGTACTAAAATTAAAATCTAACACGTATTTCAAATGAGGAATTTGACATCAATTTAGCGATAATCGGTTAGTCATAATAAGCGCTTTATACGTTATCATTGTGTCTAAACTACCCCGGCAAAAATGTTTGGACTTGGTAGCTTTAGTATATAATATCACTTTACAGTGAACTATCACTTTGACAGAACGTATGATAGATGGCAAAGTTGGGAAAGAGTATTTTGAAATATCTCGGTAGCCTAAATTAATTTAGTTGATAGTTTATTGAATTGGTTCTGTTAAGAGTCCTCTACTGAAATATCTTAATATCCCAATAAAAAGAAAATACACTTCCTCTACATAAATCTTAAATTTCAATACATAGAATATGTTGTCAAAATATATATTATTGACTGAAATATACTAGTATTTATTATACCATAAAACAAGATAGAAAAATAAGTAAACACATCACAAAAAACTGGTTTTGAAAAAAAACCAGGGAGTGACTAAATTAATGTAGTTCAAAATAACCAGTTGTTAAATTTTTATTTCAAGGAACTTACAATGAGAAGTGTTTTAACTTAAATGTTATTGACGTATTTATGTATAAACGATGTAGATACTTTATCTAAACATAGGGACAGATCCAACAGTCAGCAGTTTACTTTATCTTTTTATTCACAACCATAAAACCTACGTAATACATGTATCTTAGTGTTAATCGAATATATTTCAAAATATCCTGATTGACATTTTGCGGGTTCAAATTGACATTTAGTAGTTTAAAGTTGACATTTTTCGCGTCCAGTTTGACATTTCACAATTCAAATTTGACATTCACAATCCATCTTGTCATTTCACAGTTTACCACAAGGCACGAAACAATATGAATATAGACCAGATAAGTTGAAGCAAAACCATTCTATGAATGCAGAAACAAATATCAGCTTTAAGTTCAAGGCTTTTTGAACAAAAATTCTTACGACTTAAATTGATACTGAAAAGTACTTGAATTAATTTTTTGTGAAATGACATGACTTACTTTCCCTAAACGTCAAAAATACATGCCGAAATATTTGAGACTGAACGAATCTATAACTTGACAAAAACACCTATAAACATTTGATTCTTTGAAGGACAGTTTAATTGTTGCGGTTATATATCACTATTCTAGATCAGATGGTACGTACTCTTCTGATGATACCAAAGGCGCTCAAATTCGTCTAGTCAAGTGCAAGATGGAGAAGAGAAAACAGTTAGTTTCGCAAAAAAGCTACTTGCTTCCACTCAACGTAACAACTGTACCACAACATAACTATTGGATATTGTTGCATTCATCCGACAGTAGACACATTATCTTCATGGTCGACCCTGTATCGTCCAGTCAGACCAAGAAAGCTTTATTTGGCTTTTAAAATTCAAAAATATGAAGGGACAACTTGTCCGTTTGATCGATGAGTCTGCTCAGTATCAGCCCGTAATTAAACAGCTTATTTGCGGTGAACGTAAATTTTGCACAAGTATTAAAGATCAATGCGAATTATTTGATGAAGAAGTTAACTAGGTACAGCCAATATCAGTTTGACGTAGGGGCTTTTACTTAAGAGAAGATCAACGAGGAACAGAAAAAAGACAAAAATTTTAATTTGTTCGAAAAAAACACCAACCTACCATGTTATACATATATATAATTTAGCACTCCTGCTGTTAAACATGTTTGGACCTATCGTTGCTAATGGTAAACGATGTGCGCTTTACTAAGAATGGAAAGATTCTATTAAACCAAGAATTTTGTTAATGATTTCAAAAATTATGAGAAAGCAAGTATTAGAGTTGTGTCATAATAAACCCTTGTCAGATCATATGGGACAGACGAAGACCTTACAAAAGAGGTGAAAGATACCAAAGGGACATTCAAGTAAATAAATGAGCTGTAACAGTACTATATTTGTCAGGGAATGTCTACCAATTCCAAGACAATCGTTAGAGCATGTGGAATATGAAAAGCGGAGAGAGAAAGAAAAATAAAACAATCTTTTGAAAAGTTAGGGCAAT